TACTCGGGATCGCGGTACAATTCCGCGCGCTCGCGCCCGTCATCTTCGCGCCTCCCGTGAAAAGAAACGAGCGTGGGAATCGGGATTCGGGCCTCGGGTAAAAAAAACTCGGTTCGCGGTCGAGCCGCGTTCGCACGTATACGTATACGTACGGCGCTCGCCTATCGCGCGAGAATTTACGTTTCTCGCCGGCCGAAAAGGGATATAGCCGAGCCGAGAGAAAAAGTGTATCGCCGCGCCCGGTGGTGGAAGTCGCGCGTCGAGGGACCGTGATTTAGCGATTTTGTGCCGCTTTTTAACGCACGTCGGGCATTTCGCACGGATGAAAGAGACGGCGATTTGTTTATTAGTTGAAGATTTTGTTCGTTTATTATCATGTATTTTCGTTGTTTCGCAATAACCCGTTTACGTTGAAATAAAGACTTTTTGTCTCTCGATGATTCACGCATTCATCTTCTCCCTTTCCCCTTCATTTTGCGACTCATTATGGTTGAGAATCAGTAGAGTCAGCGCGATGCCGATATATTCAACGATATAGATTAGATGAGAAGCAGAAATGACGTTCGAGGCGATCCGCCTCGAGATAGAAAGCCGCTCGCGCGGCGAGCTTCGCGAAAATGTCGAAAATTAGGTATATCAGCGAATTAATCCGCCGTGAAGTGATGAGCAAAGAGTCGCGGAAGGGCGCGTGCACGATAATTAAGCAATCGCGTTCGTTCGAAGTATAAAGGCCGTGAAGTAAGTCGTCGCGTGATGTAAAGCGAAAGATCGTGTCGGCGAGAATAGAAGAAGCCGCGTTTACATAATGTTTTCCGTGAATCGACAATTTTTCGGGCGACCGTTTTCAACGACGAGAACGCGACGCGTCCGTCTAATGTCCATTTCTATTAATTTTTATAATCTTGGCTTAATAATTTATACTTTTTACCTCTTTCTAATTCTTAGAACTGAAAGCAGTTTTAAAATTGTAAATTAATCGTTTCATCCAAAGGTTAATGTTTGCTAACTTCACGTTGTATAATTCTTTTTAGACGCGAAAAAAAGTTGAGTTATATATAGAAGATTAACTTACTTCAAGAACTCTCTAGAAAAAGTAAATTAACTGCCTATTCTATAACTCAACTTTTTTTCGTGTAAAAAAATTTTATAACGTGTAATTAGCAAACATTAACCTTTAGGTAAAATTAACAATTAATTTACAATTTTTTTTATTTTTTTCATTATAAAGGAATCTATTTGTAACTTGAAATAAGATGCCACGCGCTAAGCTGTAGAAAAATAAAATAAGACTTAAAAAATATAGGTATAATTAAATCGAGATTAAAGTTGATCTACAATAGAGATGAACATAATAAGATAATCGCGCCTAAGTTCAGTTGGCAACGAGATCGATCAATCATCCTATATTCAAGTCTGCAATTTGTAAAAGAAAAATCGATGGTAAACCCGCAAAATTACATAGTCGAAAATGCTTTCTTTTCAGCAACATGATCTCCGGAATGCTGTACGTTGAATAAAATTGCAATTGAAAAAAAATAGATTCCGTATATCTCGTTCGGCACTGTCTTGCGACGGTCGCCGAGCAAAGATCGATGGCGGATCGAAATCTCGAAGGAAGGTAAAAGTTGTTCAAAATATATCTCTCTCTCTTTCTCTCTCTGTTTCTCCCTATCTATCTGTCTCTGGTCCTCATACGCACGTCCCCGGTGTTATTACGCATCAGCATCGGCTGCCTGCACCTCTCGCACACGCGGATCGCGCATCACGCGGACACGAGACCGTGCGGACGCGGTGCTACATATGCGGTCTTGTATATATATATCTATATACATATGTATATACATCACATCATATACATACATATATATGTATAATATACACACGCGCCGCGCGTATAGGCAAACGCGCGTGCACATTCATAGACGCGGTATATATATATCGTATCGTCATCATCGCAGAAGTGGAGTGAGGTAGAGGCCACCCACTCTTTCCCACAGCAGGTTTTTCCCACGCCCCCCAGGATAACCCCAACATCCTTTTGCGGCAGCAATTCCACGGTCCGTGGGGGCGCCGCTACGTGGGGGGAGAGACGGGCGGATTGAGTGGAAACGACGGCTCGGCGCGGGGCCAGAGGGGGGGTGGTGCGAGTGGCGCGCGGGTCAGGTGGTGGGGGGGCAGGGAGCTGGAGGCGCTCGGGTCGACCGGGCCATTGTACAACAGTAAAACAATAGAATCTGCAGCATCAGTGACGTATCCGCGTGCGCGTGGGCGCTGTGTCGCGAGAGTATCGTGGACGATTTAAAAAAAGAAAAAGAAAAGAGAGAGAGAGAGTGTGTGTGTGTGCGTCGTCGCGATTAAAGAGAGGGAAGAAGAAGAAGAAGAAGAAGAAGAAGAAGAAGAAGAAGAAGAAGAGAGAGAGTGCTCCACTTCTCGGATCGGCGTGATATCGGCCGCGAAGGTGTATTATCGAATCGAAATCGGCTCGCCCGGTAAACGCGATCGAATAGCGATTAATCGAGCTACTTAATTCGTCCACATCGCAGAAACGGGGGCCTACGATCTGAAGAGCAATACGTGAAGTTATCGATCTCAGACAGGCGGAACTTCGTGCAGATACACGAATATCTTCTTCATCCTCGCGCGATTACGTATTAACGCGGCGATCAACTCGAATTGCGCGAAGGTTGCTGCAACAATTTCTTGGCAACTTCAATTCGTCGTTCAAGATAAATTAAATTAATGATTATCAGTTATTATAGATGACTCTATTAATTGACGGGAAGACTGTTACGAGGAAGAAACGCAGCTGAGTTCCGCGGCTGAAATTTCGCCGACCGTTTCGCGCGCGATTTCATACATCGGAGTGAATGTCGGCGCGTGTCGTCGCGAGAACGCGCGATCTTGCCGCTATTCGTTTTGAACTTCTTGCGAGAGGGAGAGAGAAAGAAAGAGAGAGCGCGGACCCCCGAGCTCTCGCCCGAGAGCTCCCCTCTCCTTAGCTCACTGCGTTTATACCGCGGCGGCAATAACTCTACATCGTTGCTCCGAAGTTAGTAGTTAGTTACCCATCAGTCGCGCGTTAAGGACGATCATTATTCTCACGTTACGTTGCGTCGCGTCGCGTCGTCAAGATTCGTCGCCAAGCCGCGACGCTTTTAATTCGCGTCGCGCATTATTCCGCGGAATTGTAGAAGAAAGAGAACGACGCGAACGGATCCGGCCCGCGGCAAAGCCGAATCGACGAACTTCACTTTTTCGCGCGAGCGCGTTTGATTCGAATCCCAAATCGAATCGCTTGAAGTTGCGCGCGTACGCGCGCCGCGCCGCGCCGCGCCGCCGCGTTTCGTTCGCCGCGGTTGGCAGAACTGTTCGGAAAATTCGGAAAGTGAACAGGTGTTTTTTGAATGGATTAGGGGGAGAGAAGGAGAAAGAGACGGTGACGACGCGGGGGAGAGAGGGAGAGAGTAGACCGACGAGAGGACGCGGAAGGATTCGCCACGGGACGGCGGTGAACGATCGCCGGGGGACTTGGCGGCCGCTCCGGATGATCGATAGCTCGGAGGATGCACGCGGGTACGCGGTTACTCCCGACGCCCGGCCGAGAATGAGGAGGCGAGTCGAGCCCGGGATTTAACCTGTCCTCCGCCAGATTGTAACCTCCTCGCTCGCGCGTCGAAAGGTAAATAAACAAACGGCCTGGCATCCTCGCGCACGCCGCACACGATCGCCGCTTCCCTTCGCGGGGGCCGCGAATCGATCCTTTTCTCATAACCCTTCAACCCTTCGGACGCCTTCCTTCCTGCGAGCCGAAACGTCCCGGTAACCCGGTCCAGGTTGCCGTCCAGGTCCGACCGGAATGCTTCTCACAGCTGTCGCTTCGCTCTCTGACTTTCCCCGCTCTGCGATCTAAACTTTTTCTTCCATTTTGCGCGCAAAACTTTTCTTTCCTACACAACCGCCTGCATGGAACAACATTGTGTCAACTTAATTTTTTTTCGTTGTATTGTGTATTTTTGCAGCGCATTGTTGCTATTCGTTAAACGAGGGCGAGATAGAAGGAAACATAACGCGGAATGCAAATCATAAGGCCAAAAAGTGTGATAGGGTACGTTTTCATAGTAGTTGATTAATTTGCTATTTCATCGCGTAACGATTCAGTTTGTCGTGATTTCTTTCTTGCTGAATAACGCATTTGCATTTCTATTCTCGGAATATTTAATCAGGCATTTGCAATTATAGACTTGGGTTACGGTTAACAGGCAAATTCTACGATTCTAATTGTCTGAATTAAGTATATGATACGCCTTGACATGCGAATGACAGATAACATTTCTCTTTCGCACCCTATAGTCTACCGTCAAATTTACAGTACTCATTTACCACTTTATTACTGCATTACTTTCTGCCGTTGTCTGACATCACATCACAGATGTGCGGCATTGCAGGATATCGATAAGTGCAAACACCAACTAACAGTGAGATAATCAACAAAATCAACAATTATAATTTCCCACTCAACAATATAAGTAAATGTAATGTAACATATGTTGCACATAACAGTTACATTGTTGAGTGGGGAAATTAGAATAGTGGTATAAAATGTTACTGTTACTTGGTGTTTGCTGAGTGAACAGCAACAAGAGCAGAGATTATAGTTATTAATGGTATTATATAATTGCTGAGAAACTTATTACAATATACAGTATGAATCAATGGTGTCACTGGTGTCACACGATTAAATTTTTATTTATGCTATCAATGAGAAATATTTGCTGGTCAAAGCGAATTCTGGGTAGAATTGCGTTACTGTGAAGCACAGCTGGATGCGGCAGGGGTCCATATGACTGAAGTCATCCAGAAGGAAATGTAAACAACTTTGATAGAGATATGAACAACATTCAAATGGCTTGGAAGAAGAAAGTACACATACGACGGTTTCCATTAAAATGACAAATTTGCAGTGAGCAAACGTAGAACGGAGAGCGCTTTTATCGAGAATTCGTTTTCAAGGACCGTATAAAGAGGATGAGGCTGTGTACAAAAAAAAGTGGTATGTTTCATATAAGATAGGTGATTGAATTTGTAAAACTTGCACACGTACACTCGTGTAATTAATGTAACGTTCGGTTAACGAGCTAAAGAATTACGCTATTAATTATGACATGTACATTTTTTTTTCCCAGTGTATAAACATAAGCTCCTTACCTGCGCGGCCACAATAGGATAGGAGCGCTTTTAATTCATGCACAGGAAAAATGAGCCCGGCTCGGTTCTCACGGCGTGCGTGTGTGTACGTGCCTGTAACGTTGTTTCCTCTTTCCTGTGCCGAGACCAGCAATTCTTGATAGCTCGTTCGAAGAAAGATATCTCGAGTTAATTACGTCTTGTTCCCCGGTAAAAAGGCAAAAATCTTTCTCACGCTAAAGCTTCAAACGAGCAGACATTTGTATGCAGTTTGGTACGCTTAATCGCGCGAGTGACTAATGGTGATGCTACTGTATATTATGCGAATACATTATCACGCATTTAAAATCACGATATCGTCTATTTCTATATATGTAGCTTTTACACCTTTATAATCGAACGCGCGCGCGCGCGCTGCACACTTGGATTATATATCCGTCCGATATACATACGCCAAGATATAATGAGACAATAATCAAGTGTGATTATTAATCTATTTCGTTCTAATTATTTTTAATTTAAGTGCCTTTAATTTAACCCGCTGCTACCGCCCTTCGTTCACGTTGCAACTGCTATTTTGAGTTGTATTTCTTACACGATTTCGACTAATTTCGCTCACTTTTCCATATTAATTTTAATTCTGTCTGATTCTTCATCTAGCACGGCACACGCTCCTTTCGCTCCTTTCCCGCCAGATAATGGTAAACGCACAAATAATCATTGACAACTGTACGACATATATTCAAGTTTTGTTTTAATTTGTATTTTGTATCGTGTATCACTGAGATAATTTGATTCGCCGTAGGTAAGAGATCGGGAAGGCTCTCGGCGCGCTTGAAAGATGAAGATTTAAGTCGGCGCCAACGGCGGCAACTTCGTTATTCCGTTTCGCACGAGAGAGTTCGAACCCGGACCTTTAAATATGCCACATCAATTCGGGTTGCCAACGATGGCGCATGGTATGCAATCTCCACCCTCGCCGACCTCGGTCATGTCCGTTTACCCTCGATTCGGCCCCGGGATCTACAGGCCCGACCACCAGGAACAGCGACTGACCCGCGAGGCGATGGAACGTTACCTGCGCGACCGTAGCGACATGGTGATCGTGATCCTGCACGCCAAGGTCGCGCAAAAGTCGTACGGCAACGAGAAACGGTTCTTCTGCCCACCGCCGTGCATCTACCTCTTCGGCGACGGCTGGAGGATGCGTCAGGAGCAAATGTTGCGCGAGGGCGAGAGCGAGCAGAGCGCTCAGCTGTGCGCTTTCATCGGCATCGGTAACTCGGATCAGGATATGCAGCAGCTGGATCTGAACAACGGTAAACAGTACTGCGCGGCGAAGACCCTCTACATCTCCGACTCGGACAAGCGCAAGCACTTTATGCTCTCGGTGAAGATGTTCTACGGAAGCGGCCACGACATCGGCGTGTTTCACAGCAAGCGTATCAAGGTGATCTCGAAGCCGTCCAAGAAGAAGCAGTCGCTGAAGAACGCGGACCTGTGCATCGCCAGTGGCACGAAGGTGGCACTCTTCAATCGGCTGCGATCGCAGACGGTCAGTACGCGCTACCTCCACGTGGAGAACGGCAATTTCCACGCGAGCTCGACGCAATGGGGCGCGTTCACCATCCACCTCTTGGACGACAACGAGAGCGAGTCGGAGGAGTTTCAGGTGCGCGACGGTTACGTGCACTACGGCAGCACCGTGAAACTGGTATGCTCCGTTACGGGGATGGCTCTGCCGCGGCTGGTGATTCGCAAGGTAGACAAACAGATGGCCAGCCTGGAGGCCGACGACCCCGTATCGCAATTGCACAAGTGCGCTTTTTACATGAAGGACACGGATCACATGTACCTGTGCCTGTCGCAGGAGCGCATCATACAATTCCAGGCTACGCCTTGTCCGAAGGAGGCGAACAAGGAGATGATCAACGACGGCGCCTGCTGGACGATCATCAGCACCGACAAGGCCGAGTACCAGTTCTTCGAGGGCATGGGCCCGGTACGGTCACCGGTGACGCCGGTACCGCTGGTCCACAGCCTGCATCTCAACGGCGGCGGCGACGTAGCGATGCTCGAGCTGACGGGCGACAATTTCACGCCGAACTTGCAGGTCTGGTTCGGCGACGTAGAGGCCGAGACTATGTACAGGTGTCAGGAGAGCATGCTCTGCGTTGTGCCCGACATCTCGCTGTTCCGCGGCGAGTGGCTCTGGGTGCGCCAGCCGACGCAGGTGCCGGTCTCCCTCGTGCGCAACGACGGCATCATCTACGCGACCGGTCTGACCTTCACGTACACGCCCGAGCCCGGGCCGCGCCCGCACTGTCCGCCCGCCGACGAGATCATGCGAGCGCCGCGTGCCATGCACAATCAAGCCAGTATACCACCTGCCGCGATGCCCGCCGACGTGCCCTGGAACACTCACGGTCAGCCGCCGCAATCGGGTCTCTGATGTCTTCTAGATAATCGTCACAACGCGAACCAAAGTTTACGATGTAGTAGTGATACGGACGGTGCAATGCCAGCCGTCGTGTCTCACGATGACGACGACGACGAGGACGACGACAATGACGATGATGGAAGTGAGAGCGGCGATGGTGACTGCTCGTATCTGGCGAAAGATTTCTTTCTCGAGATCGACGGTGATGCGGCGCGGTGCAGTGCGAACCTGGACAATCCGGAAACGTAGCGTATCGCTCAGTGCACCCGACGAGGTGCGACGACGTGGCGCGTCGAATTTCGCGCGCGCTAAAGATCATAGAACTAGTAACTCGTAAGTTGTTGAGACACACAGATTTACAGAGATAATAATTTATATAGCAATCCTGTATAGGTTTAACGGCTTACGCTAGTGTGTATAGACTGAGTTGTGTATACGATGTTTTTAGAATTTTGAGAGAAACAAACGAAATTACAAGATTTGATTTATATGATAAAATAAGTTTTAATCGTTTCTATGATACAGCTCGAAACATTTCCCTTGTAATTTCACTCTCGTTTTATCCGACATTTTAAGAAAGATGAAAAAAACATTCAAACGTAATTAGTAACTGATGAGAGTAACAGTCTTGGTCTATACATCTGCATATCGGTCACCGAACGATGGTTGTGCTTTTAACATTTGTATTTGTTACGAGAGAGAAACTGCTGTCACGCTTGGAACTCGGTACAGCGGATTTTGAAATTTGTAATGACGCTCCTCGATGCGTATAAATTTTTTACAATACGCCAGTTTTATTGAAAAAAATATTTTATAAAGAGAAGAGAGTGAATTTTTTAGGAGAGCAGCCCGAGAACCGAACGGCCGTGTACCGAAGTCCGAGCGTTTGGCCTCGCGTGAATGGTCCATCCTGTACAAAGTTAGATAGGGAGAAGGTACGCGATGTATTTTTTGAACCCGCGCACGACGGCCTCGACATTTGGTACATTTGTAAATTCGTACGCGCGCGGTGTCAATAGATTCTTCATTATTTATTAGGAGACGCAAGATAAATGCATATACTTTCATCGAGCGAATGTGTGCGATGCGCGATCGCACGAATCGGTGCGCGATCGTGAGAGTCGGTCGGAGATTGACGGAGTCAGTAGAATTCGTATACATTCTTTTTTTTCACCTCTCTACATTTCGGAGAAACGATCAAGTACGCTTTAGAAACGGGGATATATGATTTTCTTCTGACAATATATACGCGTGCGCGCGAGTGTCTGTCTATTGTGTGTGTGTGTGCGTGTGTGTGTGTTACTTTATGTATATAGTATATCAGTGTACGTACAGCACTTATTGTGATTACAATTACATGGATCCCGGTGTAACAATCGCGTTAGATATCCTCGAGGTGCTCGCGCGAAACTAATTTTCGGTTCATCGCCTAACTCTCATGAATAAAATAAAATGTAGGAAACAAATCTCTCTATCATAATATATACGGCATTACACACATTGTATATTTTTCTTGATTTTTATCAGAAATATGAACATCGGAAATCGCGATGTCCGAACGAGTTGAACGGCTATCTTTAAACTGCATCGCGCACGAAGACTTATAATCCTACATGATACTTGAGGTGTTTCTTTTCAGATAGATCGAGGATCTTCTGTATTGTAATTTGGAGCGTGTTTTATAGGATTTTTCGTGAAAAAACACATTTAAAAATTATATTTATATGCTTTATTGTAATTATATCAATAAGTACAATGAAGACACGTATAAAAGTTTTACGCTCCTACACATGATTTAGAATAAACAGAAGATTTATATTACACGATCTTTATTTTGTCACGATCAGTTCCCCGTTTGATCCCCGATCCCAGAACCACTTAGTTGGGAATTATTTGTATCATGTATAAATGAATGTATATTATATATTAATTATGAATTTATTTCAATCACGGATTTTTTGATGAGTTTGGAATCGATTCAATTTTATCTGAAATTTATGAGAGTCGTATCGCGAGTCGACACATTTAATTAATACTAGAAAATTTTAGTTAAGTGGACATGCGAGGTATTGAAAAAAAAAAAAAATTTGGCAATTCCTTTTAAGTGAACGCCAACGCTTTCAGTCATTAGCGCGAATACTCGGATTCTTTACCTTCTTTTTTTTACGAGAGATAATCGAAACACCGTCATCTCCGAGAGGAAGTGAGATAGCATCGGCCTGGGAATGTCTTCCCGAAGAGATCTGTGTCGGAAAGGGGGGAACGCACCGGTATACATTCCATGGGAATTTACCCACGATTAACGCTTGTACTTTGCGCGTGGAAAATATGGTCGTCTTTATTCACAATTATAAATGCGAATTAATAGTAATTACATCCTTATGCGAGACGTTTATTGCGAAATTATACTCTGTAGAGGTAGCAAGGCAAATTTTTGGAGAATGTTTTTGCTTCCCTGCGGATACACCGCTTTCACTTTGTATATCCCGTGTGTCTTCGCGAGAATTTGCGAATTCCCAAAATTTGACTCACGCCACGTAATAATAAACAACTCGTTGGACGGATAATATTCTAACCATTCGCTATTTGCACAACTGTCGCAAATGCGTTTCCTCTCAAATACGAGTTGTTATACATTAGCCGCTATTATATGCCCATGTTACATTAACACGCGCGTAGAGCGCGTATAAATTGCTTGGAGATAACAATATGAATTTTGAGTTACATGATCTACCAATGATATTTAGAGATACAATAGAGATAATTAATATTTTATACAAAGCGGTGAAAAATTCCTAATCGTAAGTAATTCATGTACAAATCTATCAGCTACAACAACTTGTGTACATATAAAATTGTTATTCCTCTTGCACAGATTATTATGAATTATAAATTAACAGGTAGATATGCAAATAATCGAATATACTATACCTATATTTTATAATATAAATTGTAGCATTGATGATTCTAAACTTACCAGCACAAAACTCTTACATCGCGTACAATATAACATGAACAATGATAAATATATCAATTAAGTACGTAAAATAAAAGTTTAAAAATTACTTCTCGTCAATTCGGACGGAAAAAACGATATTGCGAACAGAGTTTGTCGTAGTATCGTACATTCGTAAATCGCCACGCAATTGCACGCTCGTAAAAGACCAAATTGAGCGATTTTAACGTCAGCGAGACGCTAAAATTGCAAGGTGTATTTATGTATTCAGTCGCACCATGAAATAGTATTCCACTCAATTGTTACTTTTGTCTCTATTTGATTCGTATCGTGCGTTGCTTGTTCATGTTCGTAAGCATTAGCGAAATGTAGGAGGTCAAGAGATCGTCCATCTTATAACCCAGTGAGGTTTCGCACAAGAGCTTCGAGCCGCGCACGAGGTTCCCTATCGTCATGTGGAAGTAGGTATTGCCAGACGACCAATTGGAGATTCTTGTAAAGGGATGAGTGATGAGTATGTCCTGTAAAATAATACGTGTGCAGATTATTAATAGCGTCCAAGTGTATTGTTGATAAAACGTAATTAAAACTAAAGAAATGATATACGTTTCTCATCGAGAGAGGATAACGTGAGATGATCTTGATTACCTTGGATTGAGGATGTATGAGGCTAACGCCGTGCTTGTTGATGGCGATTAATAACAACTCGGGGTAATTCGGTTCCGTGCTCTGTTTCACCTCGAAGAACGCGGAGCCGAACGTCGGCCATCGATATACGATTTTCAGGAATGTAATTTTCGCGTCTTCTGGACTCATGCCTAAGATAAAAAGTATCTCGATAAAAATCCCAAATCTTTCTTCACGCATAAAGGGCTGTAGCGAATCATTCGTGCTTCTTACTTACCAGCATCTTGATTATAGGCAGCGATTATCGATCTTTTCCAATCGTTAGCACTCTGTATCTTGATCAAATCACCCGGTATGAGTTCTCTTAGCATTTGTCTGAAATGAAAAAAGTTTGCTTGTTGTTCATTCGTGATGTCTTTCCTTTGTAAAATTACGTATTGAAAAGTGCTTACGGGATCGCTTGTAATTCCTGTTTGCTCTCGCCGAATCGTACTCTGTATACCAAGGCCGCTAATCTCGACGCTTCTTCTTTTGTACATTTGTGGTAGCCTATGCATATTTGCAATGATAATATAATGCAATTTACATATATTGTTACGTAGAACGTAATATGCCAGAATTAAACATTCTAATTGCCAATACTTACCTCTCAACAACTTGGGAAGTTCTTGATGGAAATGGAAAATTAAATCGGCGTTTCTGTCTTTACCAGGAACTGTATTTGTCCAAAGCTTCTTCATAAAGAAAACTTGATATGTAAACTGCGGCGACACTCCTGAAAAATATATCATACCGAAATCGTGTAGCAATTAGTGCTATCAAAGCTCTCGTTTCCTCGCTGCACCTGTATTATTACGATGTTGAATTATCAAGGTAGCGAGATTATAGAGACGTGATTTTTCTTCCTTGCGCTATACTCCGAGATAAATTAATTTGTTCATGCCACCGTGCACGTTCGATAATATAGACTGATAAAAGTATCATAATCTTCTTTTTTTAGTATTCTATGTTCGTAATAATAACTTATAACATACAACTTAATATGTGTGTACATTCATTAATCCACAAACAAAAATGAATTTTTGATACATTTTTTTTCTATACTACATGTGTATAGTAAAAAATTAAAATTTATATTTGTTGCTTCCGATATTAAAATTCGATACAGTCGCAGCGAGGAAACGAAAACATTAAAGATTGCAAAGATATAGGTACCGTCTCGCGATGGTCTAGCTTTCCTGATCCAATCAGTTAAATGTCGCACGAAATCGAAGAAGAAATCTCCTTCCGGGACGGAAATGACTTTATCAGCGATCTTGACAAACAGACTAAAGCCCTCTGCAGATCGCAGATTCAGTCTTTGCGCGATATTCTGGCAAAAGTCTTTCGCTCTGGTAGACGAGTCAACTTCGAATGCCTGTAAACCGGAATTACAATAAGCCGGTTAACAATCGACAGGAAAAAATTGCGTAGAAGAAATAGGCAATAATTAAGATATGTACCTCGTCCGTGTCGTCTGGGAAATAGACCTTGTGAAATATTTGCGTAGTTTTGTGCTGGATAGCTTCCACTTCCACTTGATGTGGCGGATACTTCCGTTGACCATTGCGCAAGGTCTTCTGCAGCCTTTGCAAAGAGTCTTGTGATATGGGATGGCGTCTCGTACGCAGAAACAGAGTTAATTCCTGCAATGGAAAACAGCATTATACACATATACTTGCAAATTTGCCTTCAAGCACGTCATCGATAATATTCTTCTGTAAAATATAATAATTATTGGTAAATAGAGAGAGAAATTCTATCATACCTTTAAGAGGCTCTGACTACAAGTAAACAGCCCAGTAGCGAGCCACATTAGCTCCCATCCTCGCTCTTCGCTCAATCTGTTGCGGTTATCGGTGAGCTGCTTCATAATCTGACAATAAATTTCGTCCCGTAAAATTTCATTCTTCAACGGCCCGTCGAAAATTAGATCGGTGTACTCGTTGCCAATGCGCGGTCGTTTCGTCGGCAGATCGCCCATGTACTTCAGAATAGCATTAAAGGCGAAACACGCTTCTTCGGCTAGCTCCTCCTTGGATACGAGTTTCTTTAAGAGAGGTTGCTTTATCGGCTCTCTGGAGTGATGCCACAATTCGTCCGTGTGGCCACGTCGCGCGGACGTTAAGGTCAGCGTTTTGGACATTGTTCTCTTTGGCGGTGTTCTAAAGATAAATCCAATCAGAGCGTTATCACACTTTTTTACTTTAGAATATCAAATGCGAATTTGATATTGACGTTTCTACTTACCGGAAGTGATCGATTGCGTATTCCAAAAGAGTGTGGGGTTTATCGCGAGAGTCCACACCGTTCATTTGCTGCGGATAAAGTCTGCGACTATTCTCCGTACCCTCCATACTGAATAAGGCCTGAAAATTAGAATCGATGAGTTTAGATAAAGAAATCAACGTTCCTCGGCAATGAAAGTAATCCGTACGTTAATACGTACCAATATATCATTTGGTGGTTTCGTTAAGGAAGGTAGAACGTAAACCGTCTCAGCCGGGAAATCACCCTTCTCACCAGTCCTTTCGCAGGTTCCGACATACCATCCTGAGTTGAGCACAGTCTCGCCGGTGCTCTCGTCTTCGAGGACGATGAGATCGCCCTTTTGAAAATTCAAGAACGACGAGCCTTCGCCCGGCGCTTTGTAATCTTGTAGAGCTATAACGAACTTGCTGCGCTTCTTCAGCCCTTCCAAAAAGTATACCACCAGATCACGGATGTCCTCCGCGTTCGGGCTTTGGAACGTGAATTCTTCTCCCCGTACCGTCGATAAACTGAATGTTTGCGTAAACATCTTGGTTGTTCTGCGAAGATAACGCCAAGTTTAGAATGTAATGCTCGGAAAGTTTTTTCACAACTTAACGTTTTAAAACGCTTTTAAAACACAAAACAAAGCAGAGTTTGCTCTTCTTACTTTATACTACAACTTACTACACAAATGTACGTGTAAATTTCTTTTAAAATTTTCTCTTGCAAAAGGACTTAATTGTAATCGCGCTATTACATACTTTTGACTAGATACGGTGGTAATCTCGGGGAAGGATAACTCCAAGAGCACCTGTTCCTGATCGTCGACAACGTACACCCCGGTCCAATTAACGGCTATGATAACGTCATTCTTCGGTAGGTTCGGGCCGGAATTTCTGTAAGCTTCGTAAAATCGGGAGAACAACAAAGGCCATTTGAACTTTGCATAGCCGACTATATCCTCTTTAACGCGTAGCGCTGGTACTTTTTCTTTCAAGTAGTAACTCTGAAATTAAAAGTCAGAACTAACAATAAGAGTAAAAGCTAAAATCGAGAATTCAGAAACATCGATATATGCGCGTTTTTTTTGCCCTTTTTTTAAATTAAATAACTTGGAACAGCTTCAAATTAACGTCTCTTTCTTAAAATAAAAATAAAAACATTTCGAAATTCCTGTTCTTGGTTCGCTTTTTGCCTTCGGGGCTAAAATATCTTCATCACTTTATCTTGTTGAAATATCTTTGCGAAAATACTTGTTTAATTTTGTAAAGACAACACTTACCTTCTTATACGCCTGCAAGACGAGGAGTCCCCATCGATCGATCGCCTTGTCGATCCCCGTCAGACAATAATCCGGTATGTAATTCGGCAGAAGGGTATACAGTCTGTCGACGTTCATGTCGGTGTGATACTCTATATAATATTGCTGCGCCGCTATCATCGCCAGGTCCTCCTCCTTGTCACAACGATATTCACCGAATTTCACGCCGCGTACCACCTGCTGATAGATTAAATTCGTGGCCACCTGGTCCTCGGTCGGCTCGTGCCAGGGCGCGAAAATCTCCTTCCTGAAGAACAACCTCCACGGCGCGTTTCGTTCCTGCGCGCCCTGTTCCTTGGCGTACTGCTCGCATTGCGAGATTGCGTCCATCACGTGATCGCCGCCGCTGCCCAAGGACGATACCTTGTCGAATAAGGCAATGTACAGAGAGAAGCCGAATTGGTCCCTTAGCGAGATCTTATCGGACAATTGGTTACACAGTTCTCTAGCGGTGGTGGCCGAGTCGGCCAGCAAGGTCTTCGTGTTGCCGTCCATAAAGGTGATCGGCAACATGATCGGCTTCTTCGACTTCGTGGCCTGAAGTTCGAGCCAACTCGGAGGTTGATTGCGAGTGCCGTTGTTGAAGGTTCTCTTCAGCCTATCCTCGCAGTAAGGCGCGTAACCAGGTGGTCCCTCCCTAATGAAGGCTCGCAGATAGTTGACGAACTTCTCGGAGGGTGCGAAACAGCCGACGCAGAGGGACAGCAGGATCCAACCTCGAGCGTGCGACGATTTCGATGGGTTGTTGGTCAGTTGCTTGCAGATTTGGCAGTATATCTCATCCCGCAGTTCGGCGCGCAATATACCGTGGCCGATGATGAAGTGCAGCTTCTCGAGGTTTGACGTAGGTCTGGCTTCTAACCAGGATTGATAGCTGTCGGCGGTATATTCGTCCTCTTGTAGCCTTCTGCGTACGTCTTCGCCCAACTTGTTTTTACGCTTCAGAGTTAGCGATACTAACTTGTGCCTGATCGAACGCGGCTTCTGCTTGAGAAATGTTTCCTGGAAAGACACAAAGGATGTTTGTTTGTAGCTCTAGCGCCCTTTCGTGTACCAAAACAATTAAAAATTTATATGCAAATTTAATTACAAAGTGATCTTCACGTACAGGATCCATGCCCATCATCTGAGCCTCCTGAAATTCTTTACTCCTTATAAAATTCCGTCCGAGTGTAGCCGTCACTTTCGACATTACCGAAGTCGTGTCTCTGTCCATCGTGTGGAATCGCGGCTCAGGTAAGTCGCCCGTAAATCGAAGTATAGTTATCCACAAAGCCTGAGCGGCCAATTGGTCGCCTTGCGTGTGCAACGGCAATAGTGGATGCTTGAGTGGCTTTCTAGAATATTGGTGCGTGATATTGCCCTGAAAATACGTGGCAGCGAATTTCTGGAACTTAAACTCGGACAGATCCTCCTCATCCTCCGAGGCCATCTGAATCGGGCTAATTATCTCCTGATGTTGATCGGCTTTCAGTGCAGGAAGATCCTATCAGAAGCAAAGGGATTAATATTTTTTTAATGTGAGAAAAGATAAGCGATGTTTTCTAATTTTATATATTAATTAAATTAAGTAAAATCATGTTATTTCAATTCTAAAGCTTCTTTGCGATCGTTTAATCACTTTGTGAACAAAGAATCAAATTTATCATAACTTACATTAAACACAGATGTTTCCCTCGCCGGAGTCGGAGCTTCGCTGCTGGAGTCTGGCAAGAAATCGAACATGGCTTCAACCAATTTGCTATCGTCGACTGGCTCGTCTTGTTTCTTGGCCGCGTCATTAATCAAATTTTTCTTGATTTCCATTCGTCGCCTGTCTTCCAGCTCCATCTCGATTTCTTTCCTTTCCAGTTCTTGCATGCGTTCCTGAAAATACGTGTCATATTGGAATTTACAACTATTACATGTATTGCAATCGTGACTCGCTGAGAAGAAAAAGGAACTGGTCAACACTGGTTCTCGACGAACATTAGCGTTTTCGCGAAAATTTCGCTAATTCTTAAATTATTTTTTATTACATATAGCGAGCAGATTATATTAATAATATCGTAGATCACTAAGAAGAAGATTAGTTCTTCTTTTCTTGTTGCGATTTAATAGAGAACTTCTTGTACGTCCGCTACACAAACTTTCGTCTCCTTTATCCGTTAGAATAACGAATGTAAACTTCATTGGTAAATATTTATCATATTTACCCTGTAGTTTTGTTCCGCGATCTCCTTGGCTCGCTTGTTGCCTTGGTCTTTCAGTTCGCGCTCTTCCTTCTTCCGCAATCGTAACGCCTCCACGTGCAGTCGATACTCGTACTTGATCTTCTTATATCGCCTCTGCGCGATCAGCCTTCTCACGTGCGCCTGTATCTTCACTATGGCCCACAGCTTCTTCCGATACATCTTGCGCACCAAGTGACCTCGGGCTCGCGCTTGAAGCGCGACGATATGGCCGCGCAGGTGTCTAAATCTGTGCGACAACACGCGCGACCTGATGAGCGCCTGCAATCGCATGTAACCGATCCGCATGCGCTTGTATCGTTGACGTTGCGCGTAGCCCCGCCAATACTTTTGCACGATCATCGCCGCCGCCCTCATCCGAAGGAACCTTCTCCTGTAAACCCAGCCGCGGATATTGCGCTGCAGTATCAGAATCTTGCGCGTCAGCACGCGATCGCGCTCCTGCTCGAGGAACAGATCGTGTGCGTCTTTGAGGAAAACTTTGGTGTGTCCAAGCTGGTAATCCGACCGACCTAACACCGCATGGCAGATCTTCGAAGTCGCCGCGCGGCAGTCCACCTGAAGTTCACGATACGGATATTTATATCGATATGAATTTTATCGAGAAAGTGACTGAGATAGCAGCTATATGATTAATAAAAGTTTATTATTCGATAGATCATCCACCTTGTGTGCGGGTGGAATGCCCGAGATGAGAAATCGATATCTTTCCACGAACTCGGGAAAGGAATGGCGAATAGGGTAACCAGCTCGACGAATCCTGATGGTTTCCATCATACCGGAGTATCGCAATTGCCGACAGCAGAGACCACGATCGAACATCTGGAACATCAAGTATTTGCGTTTGAAAGGTCATTCCGCCGACCGCATCGACTCCCGCGAATGCTTACCATCGGTTTCTTATATTCATTCGGTTTGATGCATCTTATGAAGAAGGGTTGACAACTACATAAAGTCTTCATGAGCGCATCCAACGATTTCTTGAATTGTGTCGATAACGTGGGTGCTCTCTTCCTAGTTTCCGATCCCATACCGATGTCCTCGACGAAGCAGGCTTGAAGAAATTTATTCGACGATATATGAATAAGTTGCAGCAAGTCCGCACTGAATGTGTCCCTGTTTTTCTCTAGGAAACTCCTCGTGTCGTAAAAGACGACGCCCGCGAAGTGATTCAAGCCGAAGGATGTGTTAATGTCCGATTTAGGTTTCAAATAATTCCTATGACTGCCATGAGTCTTGTGGATTTTCGCCAACATGGTTTGATCCGTGCCCTGAAAATCGATAAACCATGCATTAAAAGCACAGGCAAATGTTCAGTTAATTTAGAGGGACTACTTCTCTACAATAATTAAGAGATCTCGATATTCCTCCTTTAAATTATAGCACTCGTACTTTTGGAAATTTCGATTCTTCGTCAATAAGCGCCATAATGTTGAGCTGCTTGATAGCTATCAGATCTAAAGCGTCCTGGTTATCGACGAACTCTATATGCTGCCAATTGATACCCTCGTGATTGTACTCCTCTTGCTCCAACTTGAATATATGCTGAACGAAAAATTGCTGGAGATTCTCGTTGGCATAATTGATACAAAACTGCTCGAAACTGTTGTGGTTGAAGTTCTCGAAGCCGAAGATATCCAATACGCCTATAGCACTCCGCGAATTATTCTTCGGCCTGTATATGGCCTCGTTAATTTTCTTTACAATATGTACGAATAATCGACCGTATATGCCCTTCACAAATGCATCTCTGATGTCGACCGATTGCTCTCTCGACAACGTAGAAACCTATCGAAACATGACAAAGGATCCATTTTCAATACTATAGTACAGACAGTATTTTTAAGAGCTCTTTGGCGGTCTCTACATATGGAAGAATACTTACTACTGTTTCACCGTGCGCGAATATCGTTCTGCGAGTGAGCGCATCTATCAAGGACTGTACTGGAACTCCTAGTAAATACGCCACTCTTTGTACATTCGTTTGCTCTGGAATCTCCGTAGCGTCTAAATTATCTGGAAATCACGCGTGAATTGAAACCATCTAATTTCGATTAATGAGACTGACGCGGCGAATTTGTTAGATTCCTATTAAAATTTCGTACCTACAACAGTGGCTCTGTACTTTATGTTGCCCATATGTAACAAAGCCGCGAGCAATTTAAGCACCTCCCAAATTTCCACGTCGGAGAATAACAAAACCTTCATAGCTGATCTTATGTCGGCGAATTCGGCCGCGTCGTCGCGCCCTTCGCAAGTAATGCCGCCACCCTAAAGGCAAAAGATTAATATTGCACATGTAGGTTGAGAGCATATACGAAAGTTTTCTATTTATGAATAACATTCTTTGCTGCATTTTTTAGTTCTTGGAGATGACCGTGCGCTTGCGCGCGTGCGTGCGTGCTTTGTATGCATGAGTGTGCGCGTGTTCTCATTGTCAGAACACGAAATGTTATTACTACCAGTATTGCCGTTAGCGCTAACCAACATAGTATTCGCGCGCTTACCCCTATAAGATATTTGTACGTGGACGCATCTTCCAGCTCGAGCTTTTGCTTCTCCTCCTTGGAAAGGCCAGCTAGCATACAATAAAAAATGTGATAATTCCTCTCGTCCAAGCTTTGGGATACGATCCGTGATTTTTCCAGAAGATACTGCTCTATCTTGGCCCCTTCTATTACGCCTTGCTCGTTGAAATGAATATCGATGTACTTGCCGAAACGGGAGGAGTTGTCGTTTCTCACGGTTTTCGCATTGCCGAAAGCTAGAATGTTAGAGATCGTCGTTTCATAAATAATCAATCAACTCTTTCGGTTATTTTCAATATGTGTGTGTGTGTGTGTGTGAATTTGTTTTATCATGAGACTCACCTTCGAGTATCGGATTCGCTTCTAAGATCTGTTGCTCGATCCACGAATGTTTTCCGCTGATTGCTGCTAGATATTGTAGAATTAATTTCGTGCTCTCTGTCTTTCCCGCTCCGCTCTCGCCACTAAAATAAAATTCAAATTTCTATTAATAATATAAAAAAAATTGTACAAGTCGCAATTATACACAGATAATTATTGTTGCCTCAATAATAAGCTAATAGCTTTCAATAATAATTGTCTCTTCAATAGTAAACACGATTCACAAAAATATCACACGAAAGAAAATCTATCTTTTCCTCAGCGATCCCATTTATAAAGAGCAAATAAAAAAAATGTATGTTACAAGATTAATGTCACAGAGAAGGGTATAGACGGAGCACGACTTGTGGTACCTTACCTAATTACTATGCACTGATCCTGGCCGTATCGGTTCATATGCGCGTAACTGTTATCGCCGATGGCGAATATGTGCGGCGGCAGCTCCCCGATTTTACGATCCTTGTAGAGTTTGATTTGCTCAGCGGTATAAATAGGCAATATCTGGTACGGGTTGACGGCGACCAGGATGGAGCCCGTGTACGTCTGTAAAATTACAATTGTTGTTACGTGTCGCGAATCGGATCGTTTCGCGCGCCTGTGGAATCTCGTTCAGCCAATCTCGCATTTCGCCATCGCGCCGAGGGACTTACGTAAATGAGATTCTCGTTGTAGCGTATCAATAGATTTCGCAGAATGCCCGCCTCATGGAGGTCTCCTAAACTGATCATATCTTCTACACCTTGCACCGAGGTGGCATGCATGGCCTTTATTCGTCTCTCCGGCGTTAGCCATTGTTCCTGCGAAATTATTCGTCAATCGACTAATGGAATTAAAAGTTAATTAGTTGAACGGCTGCCTTTCGGGGAAAATGCAAGTATGGTATCGGGAAGAGCGATGGTTTGGGTTTTTTTTTTTTTTTTAAAGAAAATTAAGTCTTCGAAAGCGAAACTTTTCGATATCTTCGCCTTCGCGAACAATTCTCGCGGCAGCAAATTTGTCTAACATGTATAATTCGGCGATCACCTTGTTGTCGTCGTCCTTTACTTGAATACGTCTGCCTTCCGCCGAGATGACTCGCGCCCCGATCGCGACGTCAAATTCCCTTCCTGAGATTGGTTCGATCCATATATAATCCCCCTGTGTAGGATAAAGAGGCACGCTTTTATTATTTTCCTTTAATAGAAAAGGCAGACCAGTCTCTACCTACGCTAATGTTATATACGAGCGTGATCTAAATAATTGCCCAAGGTAGTGAACGTGTGTCGCTGGCCTTGAACCGTAGAATATCTCGAACGGCGTTAATTAACATAAACCAGTTATTCACGTTATTGAGTAACGCGTGTAACTATATCCACCCACACTGTGGCCGGTATATTCATAGTCGGTTCTTATATTTAAGACCGTCTTAAGTACAATCTTAAGATATTATGAACCAATCACAGAGCCGTATTAGCATCTTAAGACATTACTTGAGACGATTTTGAAATAAGAACCGACTATGAATACCGGCCTAGGTATATCTCGTCCGGCGAATATGACGGAGAGATGGGAAAAAGACGAGAAGCGAGAATCGAGCGACGCGATGAGGGTTTCGCAGTCGCGGGTTGTATGGAATTCGTATCTATTAACGCAAGCGTCGGATCTAAAAATTGAGTTATATGGTATACCGTTGTAATAACTGTACTACTGCCTTTGCCATTCGGCGTGGCGCACGGCACGCGGCAAGGCGGTAGTAAGTATACGTCGTAACAAATTTCCCAATTGTTATTTGACACGCGCGATACACGTGTCACGCGTGTCACACCTCGGTAGATCGATCCAACATCACCTCCGCCCTTCCCCCTCTTCTCCCTCTTTCTGCATCGCTACACTTGAATATTAAAAGATGAAAAATTTAAACCATCTTGAGTTAAATAACACTTTGTCATTTTAACCCTAGAATCCATGAGAGGGGTCGATTTCGACCCCAGGCAAACTTTAAAAAAAGAGGTTTTTGCTGATTTTCTGCATTTTTCGGTCTTTAAATGGCTTTTTTCACTAACTAAACTTGAGTAAAATTAAATTTACCGTATACCATTCTCTTCGTTATTAAAAAACGAAGAAATTCATGTAGGTTTAAAGGCCCTTTATTTCTGTAGGACCGGTTTTACGATCAAATAAAGCGTGGGGTCGATATTGCCCCCAATCATGGATTAGAAGGTCAAAAAAATGATACTAGGGTTAATCTTGTGTATGTCGAAATTTATTATTTCAATTCAAAACAGTACCGTGTTATATATATAACTTTATTGATTTAGTTAAATTAACGACATATATTGAATAAAAACAGTGGCGAATAAACCTATAGAAATGATTAAAAATGACTTAAATAGAATATAATTTGACACTACAAATTTAACAGTGTATTAAAGGACTTACATGGCTCGCGCTCTCATTCATACCGAAAATTTCGCGTAACATCAACAGTTTACTTACTGGAGCTTATTCGTTCTCCTTGGAAATATTTCGAAATCATTGATATTAAAAAAAAAGAAAGTGAAATTTATATCATAAAAAATTCTGACTTCTCGTGAATTCGCGCGCGCACGGCACGTTAATCGGATCAAAGATTCGACGAGGGAGCGGCGGCGGGCGAGCGATGCGAAAGTAAAATTGCTGGCCGAAGCAAAAGGAATAGATCGAATAAGCGGCTTTTATTTCGTGGGCGAAGCGAGGCGAGGCGAGGCGAGGAACGGATGTCGAGCTCTTCCGATGTTCCGGTGAAGTGAACAATCGGGACGTAAACGTGTATCAGGTGCGATCCCCCGTGTTCGTGTGGGCGGCACGCACGTATGTATATTACGCTCGTGCGCCCGCGCGAGCGCACGCGATGCAAACGGTTGCAGCACGCGGAACTGCGCGGAGCGTCTCGTGGGAAGCCGGGAGTCGGGAGCCTTGGCGAAGCCCGTGGCCGGGTCTCTTCTACCTGCCGCTCTTTGCCCAACTCGATCGCCGGTGCCCGCTCGTGATTGACGGGCGAGCCCGACTTCCGTTTCGCCGTCGGATCGGACGAATCGCCGAGGAATTCAACCTTGTCGTTCTCCAAACGCCATTAGAAAGTCGTATAACGATCTATAATACATACGTTGTACAACGTAAACTCTGTTTAATATTAATACACAAATTACATTTAAGTAAACAATGTAAACAATCTAATCTTGACCTTGCAGAAGGTCCTGCGTTTATTAGATCGTTTTACGTAAACGATTTTAAAAGTGAGTGTCCTCGACAAAGCGTTCGGCGCGAAAATCGCGAGCTGGAGCACCGATACGAAAATCACCCGGCGACGATCGCTCGATATATACATGTATCGTGAAAGTATGTACGTTTGGACCACTGCCAGTACTGAAAATCTATAGTGTACGTGACGTAAAGTATAGATTTTCAGTCCTGGCGGTGCATATCAGTCAGGAACGCGGCCTTAATCGTCGCGGTGACGTGGACGTGGACGTCCGATAAGCGAGTCGTCCAGCGTGAACGTGACGCTGCCGGTAATCGTCGCCTTTCACTCGCCTTCGCGGAGAGACGCGACCCTCCCGTTCATCTCCCGTACAGATTTGTCTGCGACGTTGGAAAGCCAATGGACCAAGTCCTCTTGATTTCTACGATCGCGCTTCACGATCCTCGCGAGGATATCGAGAAGGGACGATCCGTATACACGCTGATTTAAGTATGTCGTTTTCTTCTTCTCCCTCTGATTTTTCTTTTCCAGCGCGCGTCCTCGATCATCGTTGTTGCCATACGTCATTTGATAATTATACCATTGAGTTAGGAAATGACATTGATAATTACTGGAGACTATCGCCGAACGAATGCCGCAAATTAAAATGCCGAGAATTTAGGGGTCTATTCGCTCCAAAAGTATATACACTGTTGAATTCTGATAAAATGTAGTCAAATTATAATCAATTTGAGTCATTTTTAACCATAAATTCTTAAATTTCTGTAAGTCGCCACTGCTCCTACTAAAAAAAAACTATGTCGTTAATTTTTAACTAAAAAAATGTTAATTTACCTAAATCAATGGAGTTAAAATTTAAAATAGTGATAAAATGTTAAAATTTAAATACGATTTAAAAATAACATTCTGTTTTTAAATTTTTTTTTCATAAACAAAACCTAGAAACTTGTAATTTTGCATTATGCATTATTGTTTTGTGTTAAAATAATAAATTTCGACACATAAGATAAAAATGACAAAATAACAAGATATTTAAATTTAAAAGTTTCGAGTTAAAGTAAAAACGAAATGTTTAAAATTTAAATACAACTTAAAAGTAACAAAATGTTATTTAATTCAAGGTATACTGGTTTAAATTGCATCCTTTAATACTTAAAAGTGTAGGCCTGAAAAATAGACAATTTTTGAGGATTCTTTTTATAAAACCTAGAAACCTTGTAGTTTTGCATATTTACATATTTATTATTATTTTATCATCCTCTGCGCGAGCACACTCACGGGTTAAATATCTCTCGCGGTCTTATCCGCGAGGGTCACGCTCTCTCCCGTAATCCATTCGCTCGCGAAGCGACTCGCTCCGATAGTCTTACGTTACGTCTTATTTTCAGACAACCATGTAAATACCCCGAATAGCGACATCACGTCGACAGCCTCATCTTCGGTCGTCAAAGGTCGGAACGCGAACGATGCGGTAACACGCGATGTATTTTAACGTAAACATTTCGAAAATAATCGCATCGACCAGGCTCGACACTTTACCTTCTTAAATCTCAAATATCTCGTAACTTAGATTTTCAGCTAACGAAATACTCGCCGGGGGATTTTCCGTCGGCGATAAGGTGTCGACAACGGCGAGAAAACGACAAGGACGAAGGAGGAACTGCAAGAGGGAACGCACGGTCGCGCCGTCCAAGCGACCACGTCCAAGTGACGTATACGTTAGCGTCACTTAGCGGTACATCATTGTTTACAACGAGAGAACACGATGACTCCTGTCTCTCCGGCTATTTTCACTCGTCACAGATTCCTACTGACCGTGTTCGAGGAGAACGACGAGGAAAGCGGTAAATGTGATGGATTAAGCTGGCGCGAGAGATCCGCCGTTTCTGCGACCAGCTTCATCGGAATTTATCTGGCCATTCGATATTCGATCGACCGACACGCGCAATCTCTTAGCGCTTTTCACTCGCCGGAGATTGTCTCCGCTGTGCGCGATCGACAGAGCACAAGGAGGACGTTTAGGAGCGCATCCTCCTCAGGCGAGAGAACGTCGGATAACGCTCTCGAAGATTGATAAATAATGATAAGTTTATCGAGCAGAAACGTCCTCTTACACAGTGATACCAGAACAATGCGCAATGATCAAGATAAACGTTCATAAGAATGCAGATAAGAACCTACCCGTGTGACGATGACCATCTCTTAAGTCGTGGTTGTCGGCACTCCGCCTAAAAACAAAGAAAAATAAAGAAATAAGTAAATAGGATCAAATCGAGTGGCACGCGTGCGTTCTTCGCACAATATATACATTACTTTTATCTAACGGTTATAGATTAGATTCGGTCGGTGAATTTAAGAATGCCTATTACGCGTGTAAAGCCTTTGAAGAGACTTGAGAAGAAATATACTCGCGCGAGGAGAATTCGTCGAAGCTACACGGAGTACCAAGAGCACTTGAACTCGTGTCAGTCCCGAGAATCTGACGGTACCCGCGTCGTCGTAGACGCGTGTCGCTGCATCTATTTGGAAGAGAAGCATCCCGACACGCACGTCGGTGATGTCTGGTCGATCACCGTTACCGCGGAGGCATCGCAAACCTGTTCGCAAAAGTGGGTTAGGCAGTTTGCGTTACCGTGCCATACGGCTCCGTGCGTCGAGATCCGAGAGAGAATCCTTCTCTTTCGCTCTCTCTCTCTCTTCTCTCTTTCTCTCCCTCCTAGCCCAGCCATCAGTTCCAATACCGCCACGCGTTATCACGAGCCGTCGAGCATTCGAAGAAAATCAAGCGGAAAATGTATTCTTTCCAAGGAGATTTATCGCGCGATGCATAGAAGATATTGTATATCATTTTTATGTAATATTTATACGTAATAGACGAATCGTAAATTTTAAAAAACTTCTGCAGATTAATTTTAATGTATTAATATATTTATTAATTTAAATTAATTTCTTATAGATTCACATATTTGTCAATCGCGTAAAGAGATTTGTGACTTTGCGTAAGACTGTGTAACAACGAGCATCTAGACTTCTTTCCGCGATAACGCATCATGACCGCTCTGATACGATCTACAATGAGGAACCCGGAAAGATCAATTTCCAAACGTCTAGACAGATTGCATATAATTTATCGAAGCAAGTTAATTTAATTCGTCGGATGAAACGTGTCAATTGAATGTATTGGTTTGCGATTGACTGAGTATTGCGATTGACTGCAATGTAATTTAAGAAAGCGGATATAGTAAGAAAAGATATTGTTCGTAAATTGATCTGAGCGAATAAGTAAGTACACATTTTGCATGCCTCATCAAGACAGTTTGAGAGAGAGAGAGAAAGAGAGAGAAAGAGAGAGAAAGAGAGAGTTAAATCTCTTCTACTCATTGTTAGATTCGAGTAGCGTAAGAATATCACAGCTTTAAATCAAGGTCATCTCTCTCTTGACTATTTAATTTCCGTATTATCATCATAACACTAGAATGATTTAATCTAGAGAAAAATTTAATTATCGAGCAACAACTTAAATGCTCGAGTTATAATTGAAAAGAAATGATGTTCATTTAAACATAACAAAAAGAAAACTGTGGAGAGTTAATTGACGGTTTTAAATCGCATTTGGTTCAGAATTCTAATAAATCTTACCGTCTTTCTGACGTTAATTATACGAACGCGTTACGTTCGTGCGCACGAGTTTTTTTTAAGCCTTTCGGCGCTTCAACTGGACACGTGTTCATTATATTTGTGCAACTTGGATCATCCGATGACGAAAGTCGCATTTTAATCTCATCCTTCGCATTCTATTATCTGGTTGGTTATTAAAAGTAAATGTCACGAAATCGCTGACAATTTCAAACCTCGTCACGTCTCGTGTTTAATCATCGAGAAGAAATGAGATTCGTATATGTAGGCGATTGGATCGAACGTGAAATTATTAATGCAATCGCGGAGACGAATGAAATCAATACGTCGGCATCGTGTCGTAACGTACGTTCGGTTTATAAGATCGTTGTTTTAATTTTATAGGTGGGCACCCTTGTCTTCGCCATGAACTTGAAGGCACGGGCGTGAGCACAGAGCGGTCGCAGTCGCAGTCATTGACTTTGAAAATATCTGTGGAGAACGGTCAGTGGCGTAGGCGCCACGCGGGAGACTTTAACGGGTGATCAAACGAGGCGCTTTAGAATCGACTAACGCCGAGGGAGCCCGTACAACTTGCGCGATTTCAATCGCCCTTTCGAGAAGATAAGAAGTTCCGGAAGCCCTATTTCAATTTGCGTTGGTGACAGTAATTAGATTAATATCGATATCGCTGTGCGGTCGTTACGGTACATCGACACGATAATCGCGCGCGGTTACGGTGAAAAATCGAAAATCAACAACATATGAATTTATATATATATTATATATATATAATTATATATATATTAATAATATAATTATATATATAATCATATATATAATTTCATATATTATTATATCAATAAAAAATTATTAGAAAGAAAAAACGACGTTTGTTTTGAGGAATGCGAGGAATATTGTTATCAGCACAATATGTAAAGGGTGTCCCATTTTTCTCGTAGATGCCTTCATCAATTTAAAATCGGTCTTACGTTTGCGAAAATATTGAGGGAGACCAACTCGTTTATCGCAGCTTTCCAATCTTTAGGATCATACATCCTTACAGCCACGTTTCAAATGAGAATTTTCCATTAAAGTAGACTCTAGTTAAAATTAGCAAACTTAATATGTAATATAATGTTTCGTAATTAATTGGATATAATTCACAGTTTAGTGCAGTTTGCGAAGAGGCTTTCTCTCAATCGCCTCGATTCCAATATCCTTCCTCTTCGAGCCCTTTCAGAGAATCCGTCGTTGAAAAATATTGCGCGAAGCGAGACACCCCGTATACGTAAACGTTCGAAGAGTCGGCCCAGTCATTACCTTTATCTCATCGTCTCACTTATCTCTTACTATTATCGCAGCACGTATCGCGCGCGATATTCGCGTGTACGCGCGTACGTTGTATATACCAATCGAGGTGAGATTCGTCGCACTTAATTTTTTTTCATTATAAAGCAATCGCCGAGTTTCATCTCCGCGATAAAGACGATGCATTCGATTCGCGGACACGCGACAATAGTCGTAGAAAGCGTAAACCGCCGCGTCCAGCCCGGCGTTTCACGTTAAGAAACTGGAAAGGATAAAAAACTTTTGAGACTCGATTCACCGAAGCTCGTTTTTCCACATTTCAGGGACGATTTGTGAAATCAGGCCAGCGGAACGTTTTAATATTTCGCTAATCATTGCCGTACGTGATAAGGTCCACGCCGATCCGCGGTATTCGAGGCTTGTTTCAGAAAAGCCCTCGTCATCTCTGGCCGTCCTCCACAACTTCCACTTTCACATTCGTGGGAATTTTTCGAAAAGGCGTAATTGAATTTTTTTAGAGAAATGAACCATCAAGAGAGATCTGAAAACTCGTCTTTCCCAAGTGTTTCCAAGTAACCGTAATAGTCTTTTCAGTGTTAAACGATCCTCGAGCACCGCGATCGCGCGTATTCATCGCCGAAACGGAGAGGCACCGAGTGCTCCTCCATCACGCGCGCACTTCCGCCTCGTTCATCCTGGGATACGCGCGTCCGCCCCGCGTCTGGCCCTGGGCAGGAACAAACGATAAAAGGGCTCGGGCCGATTCTCGGGACCGCGATCCGGAGCAACGCAGAAGGGGATAACTACGAGGCAGGGGAGCCCCCGAAAGATTCGTCCCCGCGTGAATCGCGGCCTCCATCCACACGTACCTGTTGCGAGTAACGAGAAACACGACGGAGAGCGGTTGTACGTCGGCTATATGTCGGCGGCACGCTCCATTAAGAGACACTACACTGGCACTGGGCTTCCGACGTGCGGTTCGCTTCTCATGTCCGGTCTCTTCGTAGATGAACGCGAACGAGCGAGCGAGCGAGCGAGCGAACGGAGCGGACGTACGAATGCGAGGCGCGCGTTCGCGTACTTAGCGATGGACTTACTCGCGAGACTAAAGACTAAAGACGTGAGCGAGCATAAGGTAACCGAAATGAGACCGCACGGAGGTACAGCAGGCACAACCGGTCGCGACCTGCGGAATCGCGTGGCAATCACGAAGAGAGCGATCGTCCGTCGTCGACGTCGTCGTCGTCGTTCCGGAGGATGGAACTACGGTGAACCGGCACATTAACACGTCCGCTCGGCTTCGGTTCGGTTCGGATCGGGTGTGCCAGGTGGAAGCTGGCTTGAAGCGAAGGTGGTGGTAAGACCTCGCGCGCGCTTCGGACCGCTTCGGGCTCGGGGCTGCCCCACCGCGCGCTCGCTATCGCTGCGGCAAAGGGGATACCACGTCGTCGGTAGGTCGGTTGTGTGTTGTGTACCACGTCGTACACAACCAACTGTGACGGACCGACTGGTGGGCCGGGCGAGCGTTCGCCAGATCGCTTCCTGCGCCGTTCAGGTAACAGATCAGCTATCTCGCCGCTCACCTGGCAGCCCGAGATCGCCCGCAGAATCGGCACTATCGGCCGCGAACTGTCTTGTCGACGGGCTCGCAAAGAGCCCGGTGATATTTTAATATACTCCAGAATCCGGCGTCTCCTCTTCTGACTTTTAATTAATCAAACAGGGACAGTAATCTGTAATATAATAAAAAATAAAAAAAGAAGACAACTTTGTTAGTTATCCCTTGAACGACTCGTTACTTCATCATGATTCATTCCCTCTATAAGCGCGTAATATTATTTGATATTAAATTGGTATATCCTTAGAATATTAAATGAATAATTTAATATTCATATAATATTCTAAAAATATTATGCGCCTATATAAGGTTTCGTTCGTCAAAAAAAAAAATCGACAAAATTGCGCAACTGCGTTTTACATTGAAAATATATTTCTATTTTGTATCAATTCGACGTGTGAGTAGGATACGTACACGTGGCTTAATCGCTTCTTTTTACATCTCTCGCAATGGCATTGTTCTGTGTCTCGGCAGCCGGGTATAGCGACCGTCGCGGCGTACGATTTTAAACGCGTGTCCGTTTTGTTTCCTTACGCGTGCAGCTATACGAGGTTTCCAAGTGTGTCGCCCGATCGCAAATGCAGTCGCTTGGTCGTGTAACGTGTTAATCGGCGTAACGTTTATAATAAGAAGCACGTCCATGTATTATTTCAGGTATAATATACATATACATACTTTTTAGCAAAACATACAAAAATGCTTGACAATACTAAGTGCTACTAGTGTGTAGTTTCTCTAGCCGAGCTTACAAACGTACGGTACACTTTTGTATTCAATGCGGATTAGTTTTACTTGGACCGTGCGAATTGCATTCGCACACGTCTGCGCTATTCAAAATGCAGAATTTATCCCCGCAGGAATAAATCCAGACGACATTTTGATAACAAGAACGATTCCTTCCACCAGCGTTCGTCTCTCCTGCAAAATCGCACAGTGGAGAGACTCACCGTGAAATAATTATACGTACGCGTACATTCAGGTACAAGATATGCATATCTTGTGTATATACATTTATCGCGCGAGGATGAATCGATCAAAACAATTTGCATTTTCGTAGCGTATTACGTGAAACGAGGTATTTTTTTGCTACTACATCTTGCCTATCTACTTCTCTTCAATACGTAAAGTTCAATGGAAGCTCATCGTCACTAACGAATCGTCTTGACCATTTCACAATTGTTGCAAATCTTTATCAGCCAACAAGATACACAACGAAAATACCTAGAAATAACAATGGTCTCTCTTTCTCGCGCTTTTGCATTCAAGAAAGTAAATTTGTGTACAATTCCATCACGATAGAATATACAAGAAATCGTTAAAGTTTCGGACAAAACAACTTTGCATAGCTTGTACCTATTTATACTTGAGAAGACTCATATAGTCAAGAAAGAAACCAGCATTATCGTAACGATGGATACTTTCTTGCCTGGTTCGCATTCTCTCGTAAGACAATGTAATAATATTAAACGATCCCGCATGAATTACATAACAAATAGGACTAGGACTTGGTACGAGATACATATCGCTACTTCGCCGAGTCGATTCAAAGATAGTATAGCTGAAGGTTTATATGTTTCGAGTCGCTAGTAGTTTAATAATGTAGGAAGTAATGTAGAAAACGAACTGGAAATTCTCAAAATATATTCCCTCGTTTCTATGCCTATATTAGATAAAATACTTTAAAATAGTCGATGCTTGTACCATTGCCGACGGCCTATAAGCCAACTCTTGATCGTTTTTTTTTTTTTTTTTTAATCGAAAATGTATTTAAACAACGTAAAGATATTTTAAAGACTTTCAGTACTACTTTTTAATAACAAAAAGTATATGGACGATCAATAGTAGTATATAAAGTTGCAAAATCGCGATTCAGGTATGGGGACTCCTCAATTCGCTGTAACAACATACGTGTAATCTTGTAAATTTCGGAAAAACTCGGGGATTGCATAAAGAGTTTTTATTCGAATATATAACGGAAAGTTTCTATCTCTCGAAACATTCTTCGATTTATATGTAAGTGTGTCTTAAAAAAATTCCGTTGTATTCCGAAAGATATTTCAATACTTTTAATTATATTCTGCGTTGCGTTGTGTCGCGTAGTGACTACCAGTGTCGTCACCCTGGTTTTTCGCGCCCGAAGGGAGTTCATGCACCTTGCATACACACATGTATAATATATATATATATATATCCACGGATTACTATTTACTATTATTTCGTGTAATCACGTTGCGCAGGCGCACAAACGCTTTTCTGGAAGTAATTCTATCGTTACAACACGATTTAAAGACAATGCCACTGAATTAACGTGCTTGCGCTGTACTCGTCTCGTCTCTCCAGCTGATACCGATGTTCAACGCAGAAAATATGGATATGGATTAAGCAGGCTCTAGCGTTATCACCGACAGATCGACAAACGATCGTTCACGATCTCGCGTGTTCCATCAGCTCATCGGCTCCAACTCGTGTTACGCAATCACGATCAACGACTCACAGACAGGCATAATTACATAATCACAAAAATAGGTTTTTCCGGAGTATTTTTCCGAGTATGACAATACCTCTGTGACTTGATTCGCGGTCAGTTTGAATTATATCGACATACATACGCGGGGAAATTCACTGAAAGAGCGCGGATATATCCCAAATCTTAATAACGCGATCCTGGCCGATGGTCAACAATCTTCGCCTAGGAGCGTCCAGGTCCATCCCGACGACGCTGTGCTTGGCATCGTGGAAAGAGGCCAGTGACGATTGGCTGCGGAAATCAAAGGCGAATAATTATTTATCGCGCTCGCTGTACTTTTAAGGAAAAGCGTGACGCGTAACTTACTTCTCCGACTTGAGTTGTATGTGGCACTGATCGCAGACTCTCACTTCGAACTCGAAGCCCATCGCTGGTATCGGTATCCGTTGCGACGTGCAGCGAGCGCATAACGCGCGGCCGCAATAGCGACAGTGATGCTGCCTCAATCCCAACTGTCGTTGATCCATCATAGCTTTTATATTCCAGAAAAAGGGTCTTCCGCAAGCCTGGAAATTTCGTTGATTTTAAAGCAATGCACATATGCCGCAAAGCGAAGCATTCATACTTATTTTTAAAGGCCTTCTTGAAGGGCCCTTTCGAACGTACCTGGCAGACGTCGGACTCGACCCAAGCCGCGGTCTCCTTCCTATTCGTCGCCATATTCCAGCAGACGATCACGCCGTCCTCGCCTCCGGACAGGAGCTGGCGTTCGGCGCTCGCGTAGCACAATGCCGTTACTTTGTTACTGAAAGAGAGAATTTTTCTTTCTTTTTCTTCAGAGCGCGTCTTGAAGGTAATTTAAGTAATTTAAGTAATTTCCGACCGAGCAAAATTCAAAGAATTTCGCACGCGCGCGCTTACTGGTGTCCCTGTAGCTCGTAAGCGGTGCCCTGGCGGCCCCCGATGTCCCAAACGATGATGCTCTGATCGAAACTCCCGGAGAACAACAATTGTTTCTCAGTGTCCCATGCCAACGCGTGGATACTGCCTGTGTGTGCCTTTAACGTGGTGATGAAGGTAACGCCACTATTGTCCAGCTTCAGCATGGCTATCTGACCGGAATAGTCTCCCACGAAAGCGTGTTTGGACTGAGCGTCAAATCTGTACGGGTATGCGAGTTAAGTTTCTCATGGAACGTATCTTGAATACGTTTCTACAAAAAGCCACTTTTATTCGCGCAAGAACGTGAAATTCTGCAAAAGGATACTGCAGAGCGGTGTACCACGCGTCCGTTTGATACGATCCCAATTTCTGTCCCGTCTCGGAGCTGTGCAATTGAAATAACTTATCGCGACCTATACTCAAGACCCACTCGAAATCCGCAGCGAAAATAATTCCTGTTACTCTCGCCTGATGCGCTAGGTAGTCGCGCATGGCCGTCATCCGATTGTAATCTTGCTCCAAGACGAATTCCTGTAATCCGAAAAGCCAAGCGATATCCCGGTCATCTGTAATTCTAACGACGGAACGGAAGAAAGGTGGCTCGACGTACGTTAACGCTTCCGTTATCCAGGCCTACAAACAGCTGCCTCGTTTCCACGCAATAGTGCATCGAGGTAGCCCCCGCTGGCATGTACTGACAAATACTCGGCCAGTAATGACCGGAATCCCGCTTCAGCCATACTCGGATTGTCCTGTGAAAGAAATAAAGTCGAGGTAAAACAAACTGTGAGAGAGAGATATCAATTGAAAGTCGCATTGTAAGGATTAAACTTTGTAAATATATTATGCCGTGTATTATTGTATTAGTATTACACAAATGTGTATTATTTTATTAATTATAATTAATGTAATAATAATATATATAAAAGAATTATATGTGCATAAAAGAAAGGGGAGGAAAGTGCGCGCGCGCGCGCACACACACACACACACATGCCACACACGCACGCAACGATACAATGTGCAAAATAGAAAGATAGGACTCGAGGTGTGTCCACGTAGTCAAAAAATTGCGCGCAATTTTCGTAACGAGAGCAAGGAGCTCCGCCGAGGATAGGATCGGCAAGGTCGAAAGCGACGAGGAAAATGACGTAGAGACGCGACAACGCGGAAATATGAGGGGAAACGTCGTGGATCCTTAAAGGAAATATGAAAAATATCGTGGTTTGGGAAAAATATTCGCGCGACGGGTACATACATACCTGTCATCGCAAACACTGATTACACCCTCTTCCCGCGGGATGATGATAGCCGCGTTAACGTCGTCGCTGCAGCCCTCCAACTTCGACAGGAGGACCGGCTTGCGGCTGCTGCTGAATTTGTCGTGATTCACCCCCGGGGCGGGCTTTATTTCCGCTGCCATTTCTCTGGAACCGCGCGAAACACGTCGATCACAAGCGCACAAGTGCAATTGCCATTTGACAGTTGTCAGATGCTAATCACGGCGCCCGCGGACTACGGAGATGGGAGACGAGACGACGGCCGACCCACGTCATCCGCCCGCCGCCCGATCCGCAAGTTGCGTTCCGAAACTCATCGTGCATCCGCCTCAGACATTTCTAGAAAAAAATTCTTATGCTGTCTACAATGCGAGTCGTAAGAATTGGCCAATCACAGTCGATTATTCTCTTCACATTCCATTGTGATTGGTCAATTTCTTACGACTTACGCTAGGTCTACAATGCGAGTCGTAAGAATTGACCAATCACAATCGAATTTGAGGAGAATAATCGACTGTCGTTGCACGTATTTCGTAATAAAGGTTTGTAAATAAATATCTCTGCCGTAAAACATTATAAATATATATTTATTAATAAATTATAAAACATAAACTTAAGTGTCAAACACATACCAAAATACCAAAATTAGATTTATTTTTTTTAGATATTATATGTAATGTATTGCATGGCCGGTGGAGTAAACGCATATAAATTAGACATTACTATAACTTTAGAACGGTATTCACGGTATACAAGTCCAATCTTAAATGTTAAATTACAGAAAGGTTCACCTAAAGACGCTACAAGGACTGTTTTATTATACTATAGCATCTTATAATAATAAAAATAAAATTTTTAACTTATGTTTTATGGTCTTTCTTCATACTTTTGAATTATTTGGAGTATTTCAATAAGACATTGAATCTTATTTTTACTAGGAACAAAGCTAAATCCTTCTTCTATAACGGCCATGTATCCATTTGTTTCTTGTTTTTGATCATATAATTTTGATAAAATTGTTTTTATAGCTGTAGAAATTGCAGAACGTGCCTCCTCCAAATCATGCTCGATTTCATCTTTTATCTTTTTACGTTTAGCAAATTGGTCCAATTCCGGTAGATTTTCTTTGATAGGTTTAAACTCTGATCTAGAACTCGTACTTGCCACCGGAAACTGTGTGCTGCTTGTACTGCTGCAGTTGGACATGGCACTTACAGGTCTCTTTATTGATACATGCTCAATTGTTACGGTTTCCTCATTGTCAATGGATGGTTCATTATCTAGAAATGTTTTGTTGTATTAACATCAATGTTACAAATAATAGTTTCTTCTCAGTAATACAAACTACAAACCTTTGATAAATCCATTGGGTCCATTATAATCAAGATCACAGGACGGCAAAGAATGATCTAAATTTTTAGATTCCTCGGACGGCAACAAATTATTTACGTTTGGAGGACTTGTTTTTGATACAGAGCACACTGATTGATTTAGTGGAATGAACAATGATTTTGTTCTGCTACTGAAATTAAAAATAAGAGGCTATAATAAAAAAGTCAAATAAAAAAAAATAAAAAACATTTAAAAAAAACAAGTTATAATCCCACCGTCGGTGAACTATGTGAGGAAGTAAAAACAACATGTTTCGATATAGCTCCCATTCTTTTGCTGGTTCATATCCAGAACCTGATGGTGGCAACTTTTGTTTTCTATTTTCTCTACTAAACATATCTCTCAAAGAGGACCATCGTTTCTCAATTGCTTCAACTGTACAAAAAACATTAGATTATTTTTCCATTTCTAAAAAAGTGTTATAAATAGGTATAACAATAATTTGAGGAAAATGGTATTTACCTGGCATATCAACACGATACAAAAGTTTCAAATTTTCACTTATTTTTGACCACATTTCTTTCTTCTTAACAGTATTTCTAAAATTGGGATCAGATTTGTCATATAAACATTTATTATCGCGAACAAAATCAATGATAATTTCATCAACATTGGCGAACTGGGCGAAATCCATTGTAAACAGAAAATAACCTCGAAAATTGCGTCACAAACGTAAGTCGGAAAAGATGAAAGATGACCATCTCTCTCGTTGCGACATCGACAGCCGATTTACGACAACTTCACAATCGAGTGCGCATGCGCTCGTCGCCCGACAGCGACATACGACGTAATTGTGGAACGGGCTGCAGGGTCTCCATGGCCCACAGGACACGGCGACGCGACGCGGTAACCAATCACCATCCGCCTTTCCGTACTACTTTCGGAAGTGGAACGAAAAGGCAGGACGGTGATTGGTTACCGCACTGCCGCGTCGCGGTCGCCGCGTCCTGTGGGCCGGAGCCATCAATTGACCACGTCAATTCGGTTTTAACATTTTTTTTTTTTATTAACGGTATCCATAATTAATGTAGAGAATCTAAGCCAATTTTTAGCATTTTTTGAATTTTTTAATAAAAAAACCTAAATTTGAGAAAGTTATAGCTTGCTAAAGTTTCTTTGATGACGGCAACTTCAAAGGGTATGACGTCATTTCTTATATAAGATATGACGTCACAGCACATTTTCGTGTACTATATTTTCTTCAATTTTGAAGATATTGCAAAAATTCAAAAAATTTACAAAAAAAGTATGCCATGATATATCATCAGACTGCTTAATAAAAAAAATTTATGTTAAAACCGAATTGGCTGATTTAAAACAAAAATATCTGATTGGCTGGTCCAGTGGAAAAACTCCAGTCAATACGGAATGCCGCTACCGTTCTTACATCTTGCATGTTTCATGGTTCCAGCTTTCAGCTTCGTTTACTCCAATAGTTTCCCGACTTCTCGTGCCTGGCATTCTTAGTTCCTGCTTGTTCGAGGACACTCCGGGCTCCAGAGCTTATCCAAGCGGATTTCTCCTTTTCACGTATCGTTCGTATCGCGCACGCAATATGACGATGAATACGAAGGAGAAGGAAAAGTACATCGAGGAGTTCGATTTCCCGTATTGCGACGAATCTTCCAAGTATGAGAAGGTCGCGAAAATCGGCCAGGGCACCTTCGGGTAAGTAAAAATCTTGCCCTTGAGATTGCCCTTTGAGCCCTTAATTCGCACGTGCACGGAAGGGCCGAAGGGCAAACGTGTCCGTGAACACGTGGTAATCACGTTTCTGTAGATGATTCTGTTAGCCAGCTACAATGATTCCGACACGAATCAATGCAATATTAGGCCCGCGAGGTATTATTATTTTTTTTAAACAAATGCATGCTTGGAACAGCGTTTTTGTTAACAATTCCCAAAATGTAAAAATTGGATGATGCAACTCCGACGCACCATGTGCTAGGGGCATCGATAGATTTCTTTTAACGAAATAATTTGAATGCGTCCGTCGGAATTTAATCGAGAAATAATTTGGAGTTTGTGCATTTTATTATCTTTACATCGCACGTTTACGATGTACAAATTCATTTTTCTCAACAACGCAGTTATCAACTTCACGATTAATAGACAGAGCCATTATACTCTCTGTTAGCATCTCATTTTATTAATTTTCTAACCTATATCTTTCTAACCTATGTCCCTTTTTTACAGAGAGGTGTTCAAGGCTAAGGACAAGAAAACGAACAAGAAGTTTGTCGCAATGAAGAAGGTATTAATGGACAATGAGAAAGAAGGAGTAAGTTTTGCTTTATATAATCACGTGATTGTCGCGATTACTTTAGGGATCCTCCAGGGACGGGTCCCTAGATTACTTTATCGAGTTGTGTGCTAAACACGAGACAAGCATATTTTATTTCACTCTACCTTACTGGTACACCAATGTGCACTAGTTCAGAAAGTTTTTCGAAAAATAATAGATGGTTAAATTCTTTAGTAACTCTCCTTTGGATACGTGGAGTATATCGTAGTACATATACCTCAATAACTTGTAAAGAAAGAGTATTCTTGGCTTATTTTAATACAGAACAGATTATTACTGAAAAAATATTAAAATTAAAGTTTCAACCTGTTAAAACACTTTAAGATATGTGCAACAGTGAATAATATTAAACAGAAAATAAAAATACTAATTGGTTTAATATTTATAGCCTAAATAATGTGGAGTGTAATTTACGTGCCCTTCTGTTTCAAATTTTTACGCATCCACTGGAGAGTTAAACTTTTGATATTAATCCGACGTAAACAACATTCTTACTTTACTAGCGATATTTTCTCTTAGTTTTATACAATACAATTTATCTTGTATTTATGTTACATGTATTGTCAAAATCTTCTTACAGTTTCCTATTACGGCATTGCGAGAGATAAAGATACTACAATTGTTGAAACACGAGAATGTAGTCAACCTCATAGAAATTTGCAGGACACGAGGTAAGCGTATATAACTTAATATCCATCCTCTAATCTTCGATCTGTACAATTCTAAATGAACCATAAATGTGGGGATTCATTTTTTCTACTTAAATAAAATACTCGGAGAGATGCGCAAAAACTATCTTATATATTATCTGAGAAAGTCTGTTCAATAATTTAAAACAAATAGCAGTTAAATATTAATTGAAACGATTGACGATGTATAACATTTAATTTCATATTATTTTCAGCAACTCAGTACAATCGATATCGGTCTACTTTCTACCTGGTGTTCGACTTCTGCGAACACGACTTGGCTGGGTTGTTGTCAAACGTAAATGTAAAATTTAGTTTGGGCGAGATAAAAAAAGTTATGCAACAGTTACTAAATGGACTTTATTACATACATAGCAACAAGGTAAGAAGTTATTAAACATTTTACATTCCTTTATAAAGATGCCAAGTTCTAGAAAAGTGATGTCCAAATAACTTATTCGTTAATATGAAAGTGATTAAGAGATTCAAGATTATTCTCTAATAAAATAATTATAATCTTTAAAGATTACATATTTCTATATTCTCTCATATTATGCATATAATGTAACGGTTTCTTTATCATATTAATCTAGGACAAAGCTATCACTCGTAGTTAATGTTGACAATATTATGATAATTATATACAACGTAACAATTTATTTTTCCTACAGATTTTACATAGAGATATGAAAGCCGCTAACGTTTTAATAACAAAGAACGGTGTATTGAAGTTGGCTGATTTTGGTTTGGCACGAGCATTCAGTGCAAAAAACGGTCACTCAAATCGTTACACCAATAGAGTGGTCACACTTTGGTACCGACCACCAGAACTCCTACTTGGTGACAGGAATTATGGGCCACCTGTGGATTTATGGGGCGCTGGTTGTATAATGGCAGAAATGTGGACAAGGTAATATCACTTTGTGATATATATTATCTTTTTTTTGCTGGAATCGAGTTTTTTTTTAGAAGTTTGCTCAACAAGTGGCGTAAAAGTCCTTCAGATTTATTTTAGCTTCACTTAAAGTTCATATATAAATTCGTGATATATTATGTTCTTGCGCTCTTTCTATACGCGCAATCACGTAATTACATGCAAGCTTAAACCTTTTAAATCTTTTCCACAGGTCTCCCATAATGCAGGGAAACACCGAGCAACAGCAGCTGATATTGATCTCGCAATTGTGTGGTTCGATAACGACCGAGGTGTGGCCTGGCGTTGAAAGTCTGGATCTTTTTACCAAAATGGATCTTCCGAAAGGGCAGAAGAGAAAGGTAAGGCTGGTTCTACAATAAGTTGGATGTCGAAACGCACAGCCAATGAGAAAATTTCTTTTTCGACTGATTATAGATCGGGCCGTATTAATTATGGATTTTTACAGGTCAAAGATAGACTGAAGCCATATCTGAAGGACCCTTACGCATGTGACTTGTTGGACAGACTTCTGATACTCGACCCCCTCAAAAGATGCGATTCTGATTCCGCGTTAAACCATGATTTCTTCTGGACCGATCCGATGCCGTGCGATCTTAGCAAGATGCTGGCACAGCATACTCAGAGCATGTTCGAGTACCTGGCACCACCGAGGCGACCTGGTCATATGCGACATCATCCAGTGCCTGGAGGGCCAGCCAAGTCTAGCACTAGCATGGCTGAAAGCGGCTATCAGGATCGTGTCTTCTAACGTGTTTATCTCAATATATGCACAGATATATGTGTGTGCATATATATCTCAATATATGCACAGATACATTGTACATCACGTGTGCGTGTGTTTGTGTGTGGACACAACATTGCGTGGACACCGTGGGTCTTTCAAGGCACCGTCGATTTTTCATTTGATTCTTACAGGAATGGGGAAGAAATCTTAAATATGATACAGGAATTTTTATAGATTTTTTTTTGTAACACAAACGCTTAACCCTTTGAACTTAAAAACTCTTGGGACTTAAGAAAGTCCCAAGGTGTCTGGATGAGTACCAAAAACACGGTGTCCGCGTAGTGTGAATCTATTTTGTACGTATGTAGAGTATTATGTTTTATATAATACTTATATGGCTGTTGTATGATATGTAATTCCATCCTGACGTTACCAACTTTTTATACAGTTCTGATAGAATTATTTAGTTTAAAAATCTATTTGTTGTTCATTATCGTTCCCATCCTAAAACCGCAATAAAGCGAAAATGTACATTAAAATACGATCACGAGTCATTATCCACATCTGACATTTACTAGCGGTTAACTCTTTAGCTAGTTCTCTCTCTTGCAGCTTATTATACGTCAAATTTTCACCTTTTATTCTTAAACCGACGTACAATTAAGTATCGCGTGATAATAAAAAGATAAGAGAGCAGACAGTGTAAAGTGGAAGCAGAAGGAAAATAGCGCGGTACGATTCGTAAAGTGAGGTTAGGTGATCGGATGGCTGCTCGACATGCATACACGCGTTGCGTACACTCGTCTATAATCTGCTAATCAACTTCTTAATCGATAAGGAGAAAAAGGTATTTGGAAACTGCGTTGTACTTGGAATTCGGATCAAATAATAACACTTTAAAAATCACAAACGTCACGTGGTACTTAATTACAAACCTAATATATGGCGTCGAACCTCGAATAGACAACCGTGTTTGAAATTCCGTTTAAACACGTAGCGTTTTTCAACAGCAGGTATCGTATTACCAGAGTTATATATAAGTAATCCACGAGGTCGAAAAAAATGCAAAGTGACGGAAACAAAACCAGGAATTGATGTACGATACGAAAGCACGGAGGCACAACGAGGCAAAGCGTGTGAAACGTGCGTGGATGCATTTGGGGACGTCTGGAATGTTGAAGCAAAAGTACGATAACGTTTTTTATTTACGTGTTATTTCATCTGGCAGGTAAATAGGTTTAAAGAGTAATCATAAAATTACGTTTAAAGTTACTCTTGGGTTCATCGTGCAATTTTGGGGAGCGCACGCGCACGACGCACGCGCAGCTTATCACTTTATCGCTCGCACGTGTACAACTGTAACACTCGCGCGCACATTCAACGCAACTTTACGCTATTATTGTTGTTGAAGAAAGGTTCAATTCGATAATATTGCAAACATTTGTTTTCAAATCTAAAAGTTAAATTTTTTAATCCCACGCGAAAGACGCGACAAAAGTCTCGATTATTACCTTTGCGATATTTTATTTCTAATCATCAGTTAGAAAATTATCCTTTTAATTATTAATTCTTATTATTTTTTCTGTATGTACGAGCGGAGATTATATGAGAGAAAGAAAACATTTTATATGAGCATATTTTATATATAATAATATTTTTTTAGGAAAAATTTTTTACCTGCAGATAAAAATCAGGAGAGATAATTATAGTTATACGTATTCAGAACATTTCGTCGAAACATTTTGAAGCGGTTGCCCCAGGATCTTCGTATTGCAGATTGTGTCCCATCACTTACTACGTACCTACCAACAATTATGTTTTCGAGAAATGTCAAGACCACGCTATTGTGCGGCCCAAAAGAGTTGAGAAAATCTTTTATGTTTGAGGTACGTAATTACGTCCTACAAACGTAAACGACCCCGAAATCACTTTGTCACGCAAATCTATTTCGACATTTCTACGAGATATTTCTCAAAGCGGAAAACGTTTTCCTATCGTAGGCTGCGACGTATTGGGCGGAGGAAGGACACCGTGTCGTCTACATTACTCCGATGCCTTTGGATAGACGACCGGCGGCCTGTCACGACAGAAGAAATCCAGCGGTCGCGGCTCTTCTTAAACTAATGAGATTCGTGTAAGATTTATGCAACACGGGGTAGCCTATGTGTTTTTTTTTACAGAGTATTCCGTTTGTCACCGTTGTCATTGCTTTCCGAAGACTTTTAGATATCATCTTGGATGCATCATTCAGGAAAAGCAATTTAAATAAATTTATTGTAAAATTAATTAAATTTAATTAACTTGATTTAATTTAATTTAATTTACAATTGTCAATTTAATTAAATTTAAATAAATTTAGATTTTATTGTATTTAACAATATTATGTTCAAGAATTTCACGGAATGTCCGCACACATATTTCACGTAGCGCGTGGCAATGTCTTAATATTTATTTACGCAGATACTTGTCGGATTACGAAGCTCTCGTGGAGCAACTTTTTAAACTGCATACCTACGCAGCCGTACCTTCCGTGCTTTTGATAGACGAGCTGGACGATTATCTCGACGGTTTGGAAGCTGCTGGAAACGATTCGAGGATGCACATCGCCAGAATCTGCGCCCTGATACTCCATTCGATGAAATCGTGTTCACGGGTCTTGAAAAAGAACGTAAGCGAGAAATTACATTTGCGATAAAAACAAATTTCTGCTTTTCCGAATACAAAAAATCTGTATAATTCTTTTATTTTCCTTCAAAAATACGCGTTTTAGATTTTGCGAGCCATAATCGCAGAAATCATTATTCTGCAGTGCCGGAAATTTATTTTCAATATTGCAAATGTTAAATCTTTAGTCTTTCGTGTTATCTGTATTAATTAATTTCCAGATTATGCCAATTTATCTCGACTCGACAGATAATTTTTCATTTTTGATCTAATTTTTCTCGGATTTTTTAAAGATTAATTTGTTAATTCAAACAAGTCCATGCACAATAATATGTGAAAAATTAAGTAGCCGAGAATTATCGTTATTTTCTAACGATTACAGGTACATATGTGCGCGTGGACCAGCTCGAGTCTCACTAATAACTTTATTCAAACAATGTACTTTCGCAATATCTGGAATTTGACGGAAGAAGAAGATGGGAAAGTGATATCAGTGGAGAAGCTTTCTGTTGGATCATCGTTCGAACGATCGTACGTGTATCATAAATTCGAAGACGGGACGCGCGTTCTTCGACAAATATTATGCGATTCAGCGGAGACTTAATTAATATACTTTGTAAATAGTTATCTCGTTTTTCTCATTGCTTTTTTAGAAAAATATAAAAAGTTCGGAATAAAAGTTCTATAAAAAGTTGTTGCGTGTGAAATAAACTGCATCGAAACCGTTGCGACTGACTTATCGATAAGACATGTATGGTCACGTATAAGGATATCTTTAGAGAGATGAACAGGAATGAACAGGAAAGAAAGGGAGAGGGGGAAAGAAAGGAAGCAGGGCGGAGAAAGACAGGGAAGAGGATGAGAAAGAAGTGAGACGACTGGAAAAGGAGAAGAGGAAAGAAAGGACAGGAAGCGAAAAAAATATCATATATTGCGTGCATTACGAATTAAATTTAAAAAAAGTATTTTTTCTTATTCTTTCTCTCTCTTTCTCCACGGTGAAATTTATTTAGCCATGCTTATGTAAAGCATTTTTATCACTTCACAACGCACTGATTAGCCGTGCGAAATGTAGACAGCAAACGGTAGAAAGGGAAAAAGGGGGAAAAAAGAAAGAGAGCAGAAAGAAGCGCAAGTAGGTATGTTGTGTACATATGTATGTAAATACGCGCGCGATATTGTTGACACGATGATAATTAGTGGAGCATCGTCGGTGTTTTGGAAGCTGTGTCAACAACATGGCGCAACCAATCGAGCTCGCTTTCCCTTTGCTCCATGCCGCTCTGCCTCTCGCGTAAGCAAACAACTCTAAATGCCCGATCTACCTATTAATAAAGCCCGGGGAACGAGCATTCAATTCGTGCTTTAAGAACGCGTCTCAACTGACAATGAGATGTAAATCGACCGAGAACGAGCGCGTTAATGCGAGCACGTAATGTATTAAATAATTCCGTATAAATGTCAAATAGCTAACAATGTTTTTTCATATCGTTTCGCATTTCAATTAAATTTCTCAAGGTTGCATTCATTGATCTCACGTTATCGTTATCGTTGTAATTCACTTTAAATTATAATTGTTTAACACACTTTATTTCATTACGCACTTGTGTATATATAATTACATATTTTTGTGTGGAAAACTTTTTATTGGATCGCGCTCTTTTTTATTTCAGGATATCGTCGCCGTAGGCAGATAATTATGCCGAATGAAAATAGAAGCTTTTAAATTAACGCGAGGGACAACAACGTTTTCGATACGCGCCATTTTACTTCAGTTTATAACGAGAACTATAATAAGTCATTCATGCTGAAAGGACGAATCTTTAGATAAAGGCGAGTCGATAATTGCAGCATCTTTCGTCAGATGTCCAATCTAAGAAATTTTAATTGATATAAAATTCTTCGCTGATTCTCCACGTTGGCTCTTTAAAATTCCACTCGGCATGGCGGATAACGCCGACGTTCCCCCTCTCGAATGCACTCGCTCTACAAGCCATCCCCCAACCGCAGGCTTGTTCGCTGTTAAAAGTTACATTCCATCGGTCAGACAACCAGTTTTGAATCGGTTTCGAATTCCCGATGACTCACATGCGATCTCCGATCGCATCCGGCACGTGTGTGTCGTGCATCCGCATTGCGCGCGGAGAGCGGGAAGAAAGAAAGAAAGTGAAAACATAATCACCGGACATAATTTCTGTCTGACTTGGCACGCTTCGCGTTTTCCGAATTTAATTAATTCGCGCTGCAGTAATGAAGGATCTCGTTGATTAGAGAGATTAATATTGGAAGAAGCGCGCTATTTTATATTATATAATTTTGTAGTTCAATACTTCCATTCTGTTGTGTATTTTACATAGATATAATAATCAAATTAATCGATTTATTCTTTATTTATTGTAATTTATGAATTATGTAATACAAGTCGAGTCATCAAAAATTTCTATGGTTTATGATGCGAGAACAGGGTTTTAGAAAAGGGAAAATTTGTATGATTCCTAGTAAAAAATGTTTCATAAGAACATATATAAATATATGTTATAATTATATATAAATTATGTTCAGAGGAAGAATTAAAAAATAATTAAAATATTAAATTATTTTTTAGTTATTTTTCGTATAATTTTTCTTATATATGCACAAAGATTATACAAAAGAAAGAAAACATTTATGAACATATTTATAATCATCTATAAAAATTTTGTCCCGAGGATATTTTTGATTTTCTAACATTTTGCCATTTTGCAGATGTAGCTGTAAAATTTCTACAAAAACATTAAAATAACTTCGATTGAAAAATGGCACAGAGAGAGAGGGAGAGAGAAAATGAGAGAGAATGAGAGGGAGAAGATAAGGCAAAACGTTGCATTCGAGAGGAATATCGAAAGTACATTGACCGATTCATCGAAAGATAGAATGGATCACCATCATCACCATTTCTTTAAGGCTGCACAACATATGTAAGTGAAAAGAAACCATCTATCTCTGTTCCTCATATGTGATATATAAAGTTGCTTTCCATTTACATCAAAACTTAGATAATTCTCACCTGTGACGTCATAACTCAGTTAAATGCACGTTCTTTTTGCACGCTGGCAATAAGTGAGATTCAACTGAGTTTTTATCCACAATCGAGACCATGTGCTTTAATGAATTTAGATTCATTATATAATAGACTCACATTAAGAGTGAGGACCTGTATTATTATGCGATAGCTTTGTCACCAAAATAAGCAGATAAATATAAAATAACATATCTTACCTGAGTATAAAATACTCACTCAATAACTGAGTGACTCAGATTAATTGAGTGTAAATGGAAAGCAACTATAATGATTCATCTGAAAGAATAACGGGTTTTATTTATTTAAGCACTTCTTCAAGGAGATCCTGTTTTATTTACCAAAGAAGCATCTTCTGGAAAGTGGATCTATCCTTAAATAGTACGTCACTTAAATGGTACCAATTTAAGTTTAATCTAGTCTTACTTCGATCCAGTTTAGCATTTTAATTTAGTTCAGTTTAATTTTCTATCTTGATTCTCTCGAACTTTTTAAACAACCAAGTGTTCTTAAATGATATATGTATGTACAAAATTCCAAAGCTTATAAATTTAAAAAGCAATCGTTAAATCATAAAACGTCCGTTAAAGTTATCAGTATCGCGTTTTAAATAAAATAGCCGAGAGAGACGTATCGATGTTGTGTCAAAAACACACTATTATAGTCATATACAAAATATACATGAAGGAGTCAAAGTTGCTATGTTTTTCTAGGCTCGGGGAGTATCGTATATTACATCCCTACTCCCGACAGGGATCGGGGCCCCGCAGCATTGGCAAGAGGAACGCAGTGGCAGAGTGCCGGAGTGTCGGAGTGCCGCACGAATATCAGGCCGTTGCGGAGGCTGCTCCAGCGGCCTGGCAAGTGGCAAGTGGCAGTTGATCCGCGGCATTCGCTACGGTTGGTCACGGCTGGTCACGCTTCGCGCGGTCATCCGAATCCGGAGAGGAATTATCCTTCCCTCGGCCCGTCCTCCATCCTGTTCTTCGTTCCGAAATTCATCGAGACAAAACTCGGCGCGGGTCATCGATCGGAAAACTGATGAGTCTCGCGGTACGCACCATTCGAATAAAAAAGACAGATGAACGGGAATGCGTTGTGTATGCGGGGAACATAGGAATGTAGCGGGTGTATGTGTGTAGAGTGTGTTGCGCGCGTGTTGGCGGCGTGTTTTTTCAGGCACAAGTTCCTCCGTTCCTTCATCATTTTCTGAGAAACGCATCGAGAGGACTGGAGAGAACACACGATGGTGTTCCTGACGATACGAGCCACCGTGTTCCTGTTGCTCGTCGTCGATCTCGATGCCGCGGCGGCTAATACCGTCACGTCGGCTAAGGTACTCTCTCTCTCTTTCTCGAGCGATTTTTTTTGCTTTTATTTTTATTCGTTCACGCGAATTGCCTCCTCGAGGGACTCTATCTTGAATATCACCTTCGGCCGCCATTGGCCACCCAAGCGCCTTTAAAATAATTTTGTTGATATTGCAAATACAACAACGAGACGCACGCGCAAAACATGCATTACCCTGTGAATACAGTGGTGTTGGAGGTTTATAACAATGGCGCTGGTTTGTCGATTCTCGCCATGCTTACCGAATAGCGTTTATCGATACATTACCACTTCGCTGCCTACAACCACTGTAAATTTGTAAATTCGTAAATTCTGTACAATTTATAAGCAGTAAAGTGTAAAGTTTTACATTTTATTTTGATTTAGCATTTTCTTCTGATTTTTGGATCAGTAAAATTGCAATATCTTTCGATAAAAACTGTTTCATATAAAAATATATATATAAATATATACATAATAATAATTATATATAAAATATGTTTATATATGTTTTCTTTTTTTTCTATAATCTTGTTCACATATATGGAAAAATAACAAGAAGATAATAATTGAGAAAAAAATAGCTTCTGCGTTTTACAAAAACTATTAAATATTCCACATATAATCGTAGTTTATACCTATACGATTATTCTATTTATATATAGTATATGGGCAATTTTTTCTCATTTCTTTAAACTTTTTATTTAAAAAATGCGAAAATTAATATAATTTTAATTATATTAAAATTATTTATTTTTAAATTCTTATTATTGTTCCTGCATGTACAGATAGAGATTATATAAGAGAAAGAAAACATATCAAGATATTTTTATGTAATTTTATTACATACATTTATATATTTATTATATATCAAATATTCTTGATGCAAAATATATTAGTACATTTTATTTATAGATTAAAAACTAAAACGAGAAAGAGGCGTTGGAAAAATTTCACGAAAAGATCTATTTTTAAAATTTAAAATTTTAATTTAAAACTAAAATTTAATTTAAAACTAAAAACTAAAATAACTTAAAACGCAAGAAAAAGCATAAGAGCAAGAATATAAAACGCTGTAGCGTAACATTTAAAGCATTATTAAGAGGAAGCTTAAACGAGCGAAACTTTCACTGTTCTTAGCAATTGTATCAATTTAGCAATTATACCAATTCCGTTCTGGAGCAGCGATAATTTCGCGCCGACAACATGAAACGGGGAAGAAAAACTTGTAGGATTGGCGCTCGCAATTTGCCTCTGATGACAATGATTATACGTTTGCTGCACATAGTGCACATTTAACAGGCAATCGAAGAAATTATACTAAATTACAGGTTCTTCGGACGTGTAAACGATTCGTGAATAAAAACACATTTATCTGTTTTTAAAATGCAGCAGATGGGGACAGTTTGGACATGTTTGTAGTACACGTTTCAATTGTAAATAGCAAAATGTTTTTTTTGTTTATTCTTAAAACTGATAGCCGCAAAAAGTAAAGGAAGAAGAAATAAAAGAAAGATGACGTCCAATTAAATTTACAATCAACGCGGTAGGAAGATCCCGGGTAACAGTAGAAAAGTTAAATATTCTCGTGTGACGCGTATTTCACGATGGGTCGTTTGCGAAATTGTAGGAGAGAACGCATGCGAGATTATGAAAAATCGAGCGGTTCGATTAATTTCCTTGGCGATAACGTACTCGCTCATGCACGCGTGATTCTCGATGCAGCGGCAGAGGAGAAAATCGTTTTCCTTTACATCGTAGTCATTCGTTTCCTCCTTATCAAATTAATTATGATAAAAGGCGACCGAGCCACTACAACTATTCCCTTCCCGTCGAGGTTTCCGCCAGTAAGACGTCACGCTGTAGTGGAGCAAAATCATATCTTTGACTACTGCTTATATGTAGTTGAAGAATTATATATTTAACGAATATGTAATTAGACGGCTTTATCGTATGAAACGTGTACACTTGACTTTAGAACGATACATGGGGTGTTTCTTTTATTGCTTCGATCTTCACAAAATCTTTCTTTGCATTTCCTTTATTATTGGAATATCCTTTTATAAAATCATAATAAAATTAACGTTTCTCTGTTCTGCAAATTTTCAGCTTTTTATTACTTTTTGAATTTTATTTCTAACTTAATTAGAAACAAAGTGGCAACTTATACTCAAAGCCGCGTGGAGTGTGATACACCCCAGTGTATCGTTTATGATTCAATTTGGAGGTGTACCGTTCAAGGATTTCTGGAAAAAAATTTGTTTATATAAAAACATAAATATATATAAAATGTGTTTTCTTTCTTCTGTGTATCTTTGGTTGTATACAAAAAGAAAAAGAATTAAAAAATAATTGAAATAAGGATAATTTTGACAAAATGAGAAAAATTGTCTATATGTAATCGTACATAAAATATGATTACATATAGAGTATTGTACAGTCTGATTGCAATTTTACTTTTTGTAAAAAATAGAAAATACAAAAATTATTTTTCTGATTAATTTTCAATTATTCTTTTTATTATTGTTATATTATCAGTGATGTTATGGATCTTTTAGATCACTGCTGGAATAACAACTTTTCTTCGCGAAAACGTCTCGTGCGTTCAATTATCTAAGAACATTGTTGATCGCGTCTGCGTTAATTGTCTGCCTCGTTGTAGAAAAAAATGTATCAGCATTTTTACAGGACGTAAAATTTTTCTCTATTACAGGAGGAGTGCAGGAGAAGGATAGCTGAATGCACGATGAACGGTGGTGGAAGCACACCGGTGTGCGGAAGTGACGGAGTGACGTATTCCAATCAGTGTCAAGTCATTTCTAAACAATGTCAAGGCGTGTCCGTTCTCATCAAACACACCGGTCCTTGTCCAGGTTTGCACCTTTATCTCCTTTGACGCAAAAGTTTGATAACAAGAGTTTATATACCCGTGAAGAATTTGCGAGGAATTTTTTGAGTTACAGCCCAAGTTTTAATTGCTTCAAGTTTTTTTTCTCCCTCCTCTTTTGTCTCTCTTTCTCTCTCTCTTTTTCTCTCTCAAAACTGCAGGTTTTTTTCCTATTAGACACAAAAATTAAATTAGCACCTTCTTGTTGAACACTTGTCGTGATTTGTCACATGTATACAATAGATGAAAGTCAAGTTAAACGAATGACACGACTTTGCACGACTTTTATATATCCAGAGACACCGGCGTGCTTCTCAGCAAGACTGACCGCACGACTGGGCATAAGGCCCATCTGCCAACCCGACGGAACGTACGCGCCGGTTCAGTGTCACGCTGAGACCGAGTATTGTTGGTGCGTAACGCCGCAAGGCCGGCCGTTGCCCGATACAACGGTAAGATACAAAAAACCGAAGTGTTTGAGAGCCGGTTCCAGATCTGCTGCTTCTACTAGGAGCGGCCAGAGGCGACGCTCGCCGACTAGGAAACAGCGCAGGCAGTACGTCAGTAATAGGCATCGAAATACCTGCGATCGTACCGAGAAGTCCAAATTCAACGGGAACCTCATCGAGAACTTCAAAATTGAATACAGGCGGACCAATATATCCGCTGACGGTAAGCGCCGGGCAATCGTTCGAGAATGATTAGTCGGTCTTCTGATTAACGTGATTAATCCATCGACTGGCGCGAAGCGAGCTCGTATCTTTAAAGAAAGAAAATCAGAAGGTTGATATTATACCGCGCACGTAATTTCTCAGTACCTCAGTATGGCGAACTGCATTGCTTTCCTGTTTAATAGACGATAAGAATGTCGAACGGGTGTTGTCGTGGAAATTCCTTATGCTGGACCAGAATGCGGACGGTTACTTAGATAAGGCAGAGTACAAGGAGCTGAGGAGACTCGCCAAGAAGGCGGTGAGACCGAAGAAGTGCGCACGCACGTTTGCCCGCACGTGCGACCTAAATCGGGATTTAAAACTATCCAGGCAGGAATGGGGTGCTTGTCTCGCCAATGATTTCACTCGTAAGTTACATACGTATTATACAACGCGTCTTCTTTCAAGTTAAGCGTTGAGCAATGGCACAGCGTACATGACAATAAGCGTGCGCACACGCGCAATTCTTAAAAAAAGCAAAAAGAGAGAATTTAAAAAAATGGAAAACATTGCGTTTGTACGACGATTCCTTAACGTCGATAGCGTCGTTTTCTCTCGCATTAATGCCGAAATATAGATTACACTTGTTTAACGATATAGTAAATTTAAAGTTTTATACGTATAATGGCAGTTTTTAAAGATTATTGAAACATCGACTGTCAAAATAAAAGTGCTCGTTGGAAAGATTAATATTTCTTAATTCTTAAATAAAGATAATACATGAACACTTCTAATGGAGTTCATATATACAGCTCTAGAAAGTAACATGTGTAATGGGAAATGTCCTTTTCAAAAAGTAGTAAAAAAGAGGATCAGGAATAAAGCTAAAATTTTATTGATTGTCCTGTACCGTCAAACCTGAATAAGCTTTATCTATAATATTTTTCGACGTACTAAATAGCTTCGGGAAACGCCACCGAGAGAAGTTTTAACTATGGAATTTAAAAGGATTGTTCCACATACCTTTGACTGTTCCTTGGCTGAAACTTGTGACACGCGCATCTCTTAGATTTTAATACTTAATAACATATTTCAAGGAGAAAACAATCGGCGCTGAACACTTACAGGTCATGTCCCTTGTTAGTTGCTGCATTTATGCTGTCTCACATCGTTTATCATTGTACCACTTGCACAACTTTTTTTTATTGGAAACCGAATTCTCATTTGTAGTCTTAAACGATCTCTTGCAGCCTTTGATCTCCATAGAGTCACGTGGATGATTGAAAAAAGTGATATCTTGCATGCAGCATACTATACAGCAACTTGCTTTTCAAGCATCCGTTTAAAACGATTTGAATGATGCAAAATTGTGTAAAAAATCAACATTTTATGGGACTCTTCTATAAGAAAAGAGAGAGTTTGATTTTCTATGATTATATAGTAAGTGTATTTATTTATTTATCTGATGTTATAAAAAAATTTAGCGAGACAGACAAGAAGGCGCACTTTCTGTATGACAAAAAAAGATTTTTTAACGAGCATTCTTCAAAGATAGGTGCATTAAAGAAAATATCAGGATATATCTGCGTCCTCAAGAAAGTTTCTCAAAAGTTTGAATCTACATTAACGTGCCGATAAATATAATAATCTGGAGTAGAAAGAATCTATTTTATGAATCGTTTTCTAATTAAAACATTTCTCTAGTTAGAGAGCTCACTTTTATATCTTTCAAAACTTTTAAATTTAAAGCCCTCAGCTTCTGGATTTCAATTCAGCTTTTCACATTCTTCCCGATCTTCCGCGATTAAATTCGAGCGTAAATAAAAAATTACATTTAGAAACAAGTTGTTTCCTGTTATGTCCCGCTCGTTCGGTACGTTTGATTTCAAGGGGGTACTGTAGAACGTGCGGAGGCGTATTCCAGACGAAAGCTTTGCGGCACTTGAGACACGGAAAGTTGAACCGAACGAAAGGGAGAGGAAGGACAATTCTCCGTCGAGTATAATCAAGCGGAGGAGGAATGTCATTTCGGCGTCTAAATCGCGGCTTAAATTAACGACGATACCGCCGCAACAGGATGTCACGCGTGGTCAAGGACCACACATGTGCATGGCCGTCGTGACGACTCGCTTAACATTTGTGAATCCTGCCGGAAGTTGCCTACACGAATGCGCGCGCGTGCGACCGGCTGCTGAGAAATTGAAGTAATTGACCTCATGTACGAGCTAAATTCTCGCCCATGCGTCATGACGACAATGATTATTTGCTATTTATGACTGTCTAATAACGAGTAAATCGCTGCGTTACTTCTCGGTGTTACTTCTCGATGAGATGGTCACGATAGTCGGGTCCGTTTGTATCATTTCAAATATATATAGAATGAAAATTTCTAATGAATGGAAAGAATTGATGGAAAACTAATTTATATCTGTAAAGAATATAGTCGTGCGAGCGATAAAATGGCACAATTTCTTTCCAATTTCAACACTTCTTTATATTATTAATTTAAATATATTCCTACAGAAAAGAAATACAATGCATTGAGTGTAACAGTTCAGAGAAAACATGTATGAATAGATTTTATATATAATTCTACATATTCATGTTTTTATATAAAAATTTTTTACCGAGTGAATATCCACGCCCCCGTAGTACATACATATGTTTTATACGCCCACACACGCGAAATTTCTATCTTCGCTGAATTATCAATACTTTGTTCGGTGTTACGCTAAAGAATCCTGTGGCGCGTCAATGACACAAAACAAATTGTACATATGTAGATAAAACCGATCGGCTGAGTGATTGTCATTGTTATCATTTAGTACGTTTGTTCTTGTCGCTGAACCCCGCAGACCAGCGTTCCGAGGTCCCTGAGACCCAAAGGACACGGGCCAAGGACCGAGGTGAGTCCCAGTCCCCTTCGCATGTGGCGTCGAAAGCGCTGTACGCACTTCTTTCTCCCCGGAGAAACTTATTTTTAACGATGCAATCCTGCGAGGTTCAACGTTTATTATAAAACTACATTCTCTATTTTTAACAAGTTTTACGAACAAAGTAGAAAATAATTTTCTCTTTCTTCGGGAGGGATTTTTTAATATGAGTCGGAGACTGATACAAATATTATACCATTTTATCCTACATAATTTATACCATTTTATCCTACATAATTTATACCAATATTAAATCCGCACATCAACGTTACATGAATTTACTTTCTTATTAATTGGATATTTATATCATATTGAAGTGTGAATAATTATTTATTATCAATATTTGATAATAAATAACGACCTTTCTCAATGCGCCGTATAGTATTTAAAAGAATATTTTTGCTTTGGCAGTTTAAAAG